TTAAGGTGGCTTTTCTGTCATTTCTCCCCTGGTTGTTTTTCTCGCGCTTTGGCCGTAACTCTGGATGGAGTATCCAGCACTTGTCTTTGGCATGTCTGCTGGTTTGACAGTGATCACAGTAGACATTCTGTGTCTGACCTTCCTTGCTCTGCTTCCCCTTTTTCTGCCAGTCAGTTTTGTTGACAGGTTTTGATCTGTCATCCTTCTTGTCAGTTCTTTTATTTTTTGCCTCAATGGCTATGGCCTTCACAGTAGCATCTTCAATAGTATCTACGGTGAACAATTTTAGTTCTTTCCGTATGTAGTCGGCAAGACCTCCGGTATACTTCATGAAAACGTCGTAGTCGTCAACGTCAATGTCCAGAACCATAGCTTGGTTGTGGAACTCTGTTGTATACTCTTGTACAGGCTGCCCAAATCTTTGTCTGAAGTGTTGCCACTTATACCATCTTTCATCTTCATAGCCAACTGGATAAAATTGTTTTCTCAAAAGCTTCTTGAAGTTCTTCCAAGTCAATTCTGAGACATCATACCGTCTCTGATAGGACTTCCACCATGTAAGGGCATGGCTTGAAAGTTTCAAACTCGCATATTTTATTTTTTGCACATTAGAATACTTATAAACTGTGAAATAAGTTTCTAATGTGTCTATCCAGTTATCTAGCTTTTCAGGATCAATATCTCCTTTATAAATAGGGATGTCAACCTTAAAATCAATCTTTAAGGTATCAATAGAATTTTTATTGTCACCTGATTCAGCTTCCTTTTTCGTTGGATCAGCTTGTATGTCGTCTTCATCTTCGCTATCCTCAACAACCTTTTTCTTGAGCTTTTGATCAGGCTCAGATGAAGTTGATGGACGTGAAGATTTTCCAGTCTTCAAACTCTCCACGAGTTTAAGGATTGATGCAGACAAGTTTTCAACTTGTTGCTCAAGTTTAGTGATGCGATCGCCATCACTAGATGTATCCTGTTTGTTTTCTCCAGTCATATTGTCTCTCTTGGACCTTGGCTTTCGGTGTACGAGCAAAGGACCTAAAAGTTCTTCTCCAGAAGCTTTGCGTTGGTTGCGAGTTGAGACCATAAACCACCGTCACCCTCTCGGATCTGGTGCTCTGATACCACTTGATCCAAAACTTCTAGTCGATAGAACTATGAATTCCTAGTTTATAGGAATAAGGGAACGAGAGGAATTTTAAGACAATTTAGAGAAACAAAAGGAAGAAGCTAAGGAACTGCTTTGAGTTCTGCCTGTTTTAATTCATTCAACTACAATGGTTTATATACAAGCCTGAATGCCTAGAATAGAAAACTAAAAATAATAAATGAATTTAAACCACAAATGTTAAATGGTTTAAATTCTTTAGGTAATTCAAACCATTAATTTTTAAATGGTTCAGAACCATTTCTTCTTAAACCATTCGAGTCGAATGGTTGATAAATTATTTAATTTAAATATATTTATTATTTAATTATCTTGAAAAGATCCACCTGGATCAATCCCTATTTTTTGTTGTTGTATTTATGAGTACCCGTAATATTTCTCATAAATAAAATCTATTTTTTATTCTTGCCTAATGGACTAATAGTTGGAAATAATTAGAATGGGAGGTACCGGAAAGAATTTAAATTCTCATTCCCCAATATCACTCGTATAAATAAAAAATTGAAGAAATATCTCTATCCTAATTAGCTAAAGTGGTATTTTAGCCCTAAACCCAAAAATAACATGACAAAATTGTATATTCAAAGAGTATAGCCGGGCGGCTATACGGGTAAAATATATTATTTTAAAGGTATGGCCGGTCGGCTCTACGGTTTGAAAATATTCGAATATTTTAAATATATAGCCGCGCGGCTATACTCTTTAAATTTATTTCCAAACAAACACGAAGCTTGCACTCACAGTGACAGCCATTTCGTTTCTCTATAAGCGCTTCCAAGCTTCAAAGACTCGATATTGAGTCTCTCTCTCTCTCAACTAAAGCTTCGAAATTTTTTCTTTCGTTTCGGCTGCTGTGTTGATTGGATTGGATTGGACACTCTCTATGAAAACCATCAAATGTCGTTCAGCTATTGAAATCTCCACTAAGATAACAACTCTGATGCTATAAGTAGTTAGGCGGCGTCTAGGCGGCTGGGCTGATCTAGGCGCCTAGGCGATCTAGGCGGCCTGGGATCTAGGCGGCCTGGGCGGGTCTGAGAATCCTTTTTTTTCCAAATGAAGACAGAAGAAGCTTGCACTCGCAGAGGAATCTGGTGCGTGAGTGAAATGAAGAGACAGAGAAACGAACACGAAGCTTGCACTCGCAGTCCATTCTTCAAAATTCAAATACTCGGTCTTGAGCCTCTCTCTCAACTCAAGCTTGGATTTTTTTTCTTCGGTTTCGGCTGCTGCGTTGATTCGATTTTTTGTGTGCTTTTCTGTTATTGAAGTTGGCAACGTCAGATGAACATCAAAGGCAGTTTCTTAGTATACCAAAAGAAGCCCAGCAGATGGTTCTTTAACCTGAGGCACACCTTGCAGTTTGTCATTGGATTACACCATGCCGGTCTGAATGACAAAGATAGATCTCTGGTTGAGGAACACGATTCAGGCATTTCTGTTTTACCTCAATAAGCATGAGTCTTTCCTGAAAAACACATTAGGAAAAGAGAATATAAAAAGATCATTTTCTTAATCAATATACTGATTAGGCATATGTATTAAATTATAGGTATTGGTTTGTACCAGCACGTTGGCATGGGGTGTAAACCTTCTAGGTCATCATCTGGTCCTTATTAAGGTAAGGCAAAATTTGTGCGCTATCTTTTTCATTTGGTTCCTATATTCACAAAGGTTTCTAGCAGGAGTTATTTTTTTTTTTTTTTTTTTTTTTTTTTTTTTTTTTTTTTTTTTTTTTTTTTTTTTTTTTTTTTTTTTTTTTTTTTTTTTTTTTTTTTTTTTTTTTTTTTTTTTTTTTTTTTTTTTTTTTTTTTTTTTTTTTTTTTTTTTTTTTTTTTTTTTTTTTTTTTTTTTTTTTTTTTTTTTTTTTTTTTTTTTTTTTTTTTTTTTTTTTTTTTTTTTTTTTTTTTTTTTTTTTTTTTTTTTTTTTTTTTTTTTTTTTTTTTTTTTTTTTTTTTTTTTTTTTTTTTTTTTTTTTTTTTTTTTTTTTTTTTTTTTTTTTTTTTTTTTTTTTTTTTTTTTTTTTTTTTTTTTTTTTTTTTTTTTTTTTTTTTTTTTTTTTTTTTTTTTTTTTTTTTTTGTGGTTTGTCAAGTGCAATGAGAAAAAAGTTGTAATTGGGTTTCAGTTCATAATTACAATGGATACATTGTAGAAAGTAAATTCTTATACAAGCAATTTTATACTATGAAATTCAACATTCTTTGATTCACAAGACGTTGGTGGATCCCTATTTTGGTTGTTGTATTTATGGGTTTAACCGCTATTATTTCTCATAAATAAAATCCGTTTTTTATTCTTGCGCAATGGACTAATAGCCGGAAATCATTAGAATGGGAGGTATCGGAAAGAATTTAAATTCTCATTCCCCAAATATCGGTTGTATAAATAAAATATTTGAAGAAATAACTCTAGCCCAATTAGCTGAAGTGGTATTTTAGCCCTCAACCCTAAAATAATATGACAAAATTGTATATTTAAAGAGTATAGCCGTTTGGGCTATACTATCAAATGTCATTCAACTATTGAATTCTCCACTATGATAACAAACTCTGATGCTATAAAATCTTAAAATCCTTAGAAGAAACTCTGTGATAATCGTTTTTCCATTTAAACAAACAAAAAAAAATTGCAAAATCAGAAACATACGTAAATTGCACGCCATGGCAGCCACGGATAGAGACTCAAACTCGTAGTTAGGCGGTCTGGGCGGAGCTAGGCGGCCCCTAGGCGGTCTGGGCGGATCTAGGCGGCCCCTAGGCGGTTTGGGCGGAGCTAGGCGGTATGGGAGGATCTAGGCGGCCCCTAGGCGGTCTGGGCGGAGCTAGGCGGCCGCTAGGCGGTCTGGGCTGATCTAGGCGGCCGCTAGGCGGTCTGGGCGGATCTAGGCGGCCTGCGCAGGTCTAGGCGGGTCTGCGTTGGTGTTGAGGTATGCTGCTCTCATAAACCAGAAGTGCCATGTGAAGAAAAAGGATATTAGGAAGTTTCTTGATGGGATTTTTGTGAGTGAGAAGAGGACGATAGCTGAAGAGGAGTGTGTAGAAATTTAGGAAGGAATAGAAAATTAGGGAATGGCTCACTAATTGTGATGCCTGTATTCATTCATCTTTATATGATATTACAGTTGACGTTGGCCTAAGTATATATGGAAAGCTAAGGTTAATAAGGTAATACAAGATTTACACAATCATAGATTTAAACTAATACTAATATTGAGGGAGAGATTGTAGCACGACATCATGAATCCTGATTTGCAGAGGATTGAGCAATCATAGTAGCCGGGGGAGAGATGTGAGGTTGTGATTTGGGCTGATTGACTCTCGTCAGAGTGATTAGATTTTGGGATTTGTGCTTGTTAGAGTGTTTTTTCTGATTTTGAGTTTTTCATCTTTACTCTGTTTTTTTAATCTTGGATGGAAATTTTGATGAGCAAGTGTTACTATATTTTGGGTTTCTATTGCCAAACATAAATTGTGGAATTCCGGGATTATTTTATGCAGGTTATTGGTTTTTAAAGTGAGAAATGTGATGGCAAACCTTTCATTTGCACAATCTTCAGTTTTTAAATGTTTGTCTTTGAGCCAAGATCTGGAAGAACACCTCACTTACACTAAAAATAATTTCCACTAATAAAAATGCCCCAAAAATGGTTCTTTATAGTTGCACCATCAAGTAAGTTAAACCCTGGAAAAAGTAAGGTGTCATGCCTTTTTAGAATTGGTAAACTGATTGTGAAGTCCACTAAAAACCCAACCCATTAAAACTTGAAGCAGTGATCCCGATTTTAAATCAGTCCAAGAGTTTGCTATGCTGATGTAATTTGGACCAGAAAACAACATGGAGACTCAAAAGTATCCTGTTGTCCCTGGGTATGTGGACTGATTCTATAACAGATGAATTAAGTAACCCTGAATTTATTCTCCTTCTAATTAAAGTCATCTGTTCTGTTTGTGATTATTTGGAACCAGGCATGAGATTGCAGGCATTGTAAAAGAGGTGGGTTCCAATGTTCAGCGCTTCAAAGTTGGTGACCATATGGGAGTGGGAACTCATGTCAACTCATGCAGAGATTGTGAGTACTGCAACGACAGATTTAATGGTGTTGGTGTTGATGGTACAATCGCAAAAGGAGGATACTCCAGTCATATAGTTGTCCATGAAGGGTATGAATTGAACTACCTTTTTCCCCTCTCCTCAAATTTCAAATCTAAATGGCCTGTATTACAGGTACTGCTTCAACATACCAGAAAACTATCCATTGGCTTCGGCAGCTCCTCTACTTTGTGCTGGAATTACTGTTTATGCTTCGATGGTACGCCACAAGATGAACCAACCTGGTAAATTCTAGGGGTGATTGGCCTTGGTGGCCTAGGTGGAAGTAGTAAGATGGAATAGGAAGAAGGTGTCTGTGTTCTTCAGGTTATTACCTGCCAAAGTGAAGTCATTCTGCGAAAGAAATTGCCAAGAACAATGCCACTATAATGACTTGAAGTGGAATAAACATAGCTGCAAAGACTGGTCCCTTGTAACTGATGCACCATGTTTGCAGGTAGTAGGCTAATGCTGAGATTGCAACTCCCTATTGCAAAAGTAAGGAGTGGATGAAGAACAGAACTTGTGACAGATTCAAATATATCTTATACCAACAAGGAGAAAACTACCCAATAAGACACAACAAAATAGGATGTCCCATTTATTTACTTTATACACACACACACCCAAGACAATGTTCTCTTCTACATGTTCTGCTGTGAGGTTTTTAAATCGAACTACAGATTCAGATAAGAATTTGCATGATCAATTGTTGAAATCAACGTTGTGAACCTAATAATAAGATATGAGAAAGAGAACACTCACGCAGTAGGCGATGGTTGAAAGTTGCAGGTTCCACTCCAGTCTCCATGAAATTGGATTTCTTGCAAAAAACAGATCAAGAAAAGAAGATTGCAACGACGCGAAAAAGCATATCATCGTGGTTAGCGATAATCGAGCAGTGTAGACTTTGGAGACCACAGCCTGTGAGACCAGAGAGCCAAAGTTGGACAAAGAACTAAACTTGGCCATTACGTGACATAAAAGGGTGTCATCTTAATTCAATTATAAAATCACCTGGACGATTAGCCATGCACTCCATGCAATGTGACTCGTCAGAATAAGAAAAGCCCCTTGATCCAGTTTTCCTTCACATGCCTCATCTCACCAACAGATATATTTACGAAACCTTTAAATAGGTATCCTCCTTTCCAGAAAGTGAAAACAAGAGAACCACCAATGCAGAAAAGTGTGCCAGCCACCTTAGCTTGACCTCTAGCAGTTCTAATCTTCAACTTCTCCAACCTGTGTAAGAACAAAGCAAATTGCAGAACAGGAAAAAAGAACATTTATATTCCCCTTTCTAATTAAGCAAGGGAAAGGAAAGGACAGAGAATATACCCAAGTAGAACTGCCATTAGAAATGTCAAGCTGGGAATAACATTACTCAAGGCACATGCAACTGTTGGAGAAGTGTATGCTAAACCAGCATAGTACACATTCAGATAGATGGTGGTTCCAAACAAGGCAAGCACAAAAATTTTGGCAGCTACAGAAAATGAGAGTGAAGGCCTTTGTTTCCTGCTTTACAAATCCATTCAAGAATTAGTTTTCTCTGTTTTTACTGCCTGGAAATATGAAGAGATGCAAGAATCGATAGCTTACCTTTCAAGTACATAAGCAAATGGTCCTACCAAAACCATGGCCATAACATGCCGCGGTAAACGACGAAGACAATTGGATTGAGTCCTTCTGCAAGGGAGAATTTTATGAGGATGTTTGATCCACCATATATGAGCTGAACCAGTACCATTGCCAAGTAATAAGAGCAACCCTCCATTGATACGGATATGAAACTTTCTTGGACTAATTGGGATCACTGAATCAAGTTTTAATGGGTTGGTTTTTTAGCGGAATTCACAATCAGTTTAGCAATTCTAAAAAGGCATGACACCTTACGTTTTTCCAGGGTTTAACTTACTTGATGGTGCAACTATAAAGAACCATTTTTGGGGCATTTTTATTAGTGGAAATTATTTTAAGTGTTCTTCCCCATTTTGGCTCAAACATTTAAAAACTGAAGATTGTGCAAATGAAAGATTGGCCATCACAGTTCTCACTTTAAAAATCAATAACCTGCATAAAATAATCCCAGAATTCCACAATTTATGTTTGGCAACAGAAACCCAAAATATAGTAAAACTTACTCATCAAAATTTCCATGCAAGATTTAAAAAAAGAAGAAGAGTACAGATGAAAAACTCAAAATCAAAATCAGAAAAAGCACTCTTCTTCTCACTCACAAAAATCCCATCAAGAAACTTCCTAATATCCTTGTTCTTCACATGGCACTTCTGGTTTATGAGAGCAGCAGACCTCAACACCAACGCAGACCCGCCTAGACCTGCGCAGGCCGCCTAGATCCGCCCAGACCGCCTAGCGGCCGCCTAGATCCGCCCAGACCGCCTAGCTCCGCCCAGACCGCCTAGGGGCCGCCTAGATCCTCCCATACCGCCTAGCTCCGCCCACACCGCCTAGGGGCCGCCTGGATCCGCCCATACCGCCTAGGGGCCGCCTAGCTCCGCCCAGACCGCCTAGGGGCCGCTTAGCTCCGCCCAGACCGCCTAACTACGAGTTCGAGTCTCTATCCGTGGCTGCCATGGAGTGTAATTTACGATTATCACAGTGGAGATTTCAATTGCTGAACAACATTTGATAGTATAGCCGAACGGCTATACGTTTTGAATATACAATTTTGTCGTATTATTTTACGGTTTAGAGTTAAAATACCAGTTCAGCTAATTGGGCTAGAGTTATTTCTTCAATTATTTTATTTATACAAGTGATGTTGGGGAATGAGAATTTAAATTCTTTCCGATACCTCCCATTCTAATGATTTCCGGCTATTAGCCCATTGCGCGAGAATAAAAAATGAATTTTATTTATGAGAAAAAATGGCCTAGGTCATTTACCCCTGTGGAATTGCATCTGGGATTTGGTCTTCTGCATCATTATAAAACTGAAATCTTTTACATCAACTGTTCTTATGACCATTTTCAGTGCCAGTCCTGATCACTAATAAAAATAAATCGTAAAATAAGTATAGTCTTGGGTAATGGCATTATATATATATAATCGTAAAAAAGGTGAACAATGGCATTATATATAATCGATTATATATATATATATCTTGCATTACTATAGGAGGGAGATGAGATTTATATATCCACTATACAATTGTTCACCTTTTTTCAGCTGACATACAATTGATTTTCCTATGCATGTATATATATATATATATGACATGCAATTATATCATCTCCACATTGCATCGCATGAGCCTATGCCGTAATTAATTAGCATCTGGATCTTTTGATGCATATCAAAGCACCAGATGACCTTGTCAATGAGCGGACAGATTTGGCATTAACAACTGGGAAAGTTTGTTCTCCGTTATAGTTTGGCTTTGCTCTTCCGGCACCTGTTTCGACGAAAGAAGCCCCATTTTCGAAAATATTGTGGTAACCAAATTAAATCAAAACCCTAGGTCAAATAATTCATTCCATTTGGGGATTATTTGACCTAATTGGGAATTAATTAACCTGATTGGGAGTTACTCAATTTAATTGGGGATTACCCAATTAAATTGAACGTTGCCTAATTGGGTTAAGAATTGATTTGGTTAATTACCACGATTCCCAATTAAATGAGGAGTTACCTAATTGAATTAGGATTTGATTTGATACCTACCACAATTAGGGATTTGATTTACCCTAATAAATCAAATCTTTAATTAATCAAATCAATTCCAAAAAGGGGAGGAATAATTCCCTTCCATCTACGGAATTATTCCTCTGAAACCCTAGCCTCCAAGACCATTATAAAAGCATAGCCACACACAAGGGTTGAGGTACGTCTAAATTCCTACTGAAACTCTGCAGAAATCATTTCCCACAAACCCTAGCCACCACTTTCTTTCTCTCCCTTACACAAGGCTCCGGCCACCACACACGGCTCCGGCCACTCGGTTTTCCTTGAAATACCTTACCTAACTTAGGCATCAGAGGGCCTTTGGCCAACACCCCCGGGTGTGGTCCTTTTACTCCGATCTGTTTTGCAGGGAGAAAGAGAAGCGGAGAAGACGAAGGAATCTTTGACGAATATTCTCGTGGGGAAAATCATTCCCTCCAAATTGGTGCTTTCATTGAGAGCACGAGTTATACTCAACGCGTGCTCAAGGAATCCGTTCCTCCTATTTTCCAATCCACCGAAGCCTTCCAAACAACCATGGTTGGAAGCATGAAGATGAGAGGCAAAACCGCCGCGATGGCTAAATCCGCGACGGCCCAAAGCCACTCCACCCACGGTCCCGCAATCGACATGGTGGCACCACCACCTCTCACCACTGCACCGGCCACCGCCGCCAAACATGGTGGAACCTCTCATCAAGGTGGGCTTGTTACCACCGCCGACTTAGGCCCGGTCTTGGAGCAACTTCAAGCGTTCCCTTCATTGCCTCCACGCTCGACACATGCTCCCGCGCACACCTCCAATGAAACCCTAGCCTGTGTGCAATTGGGCTCCACAAACTTCTCTCCTCCCGATCCACGAAGTCAAGCAGACCTTAGTCTAAGAGTTGACCAGCTAGCTCAGAGAATGGACGACCAAAGCGATCTGATGAGGCAACTCCTCCACCAAATCGGCTTGGCTCAAAACCTTGGCCTTGGATAACTGGGCGAAGAGAGAAGGACGGACGAACGCACCGGCAGGCAGCTCAGTAGGCCGATTATTTGAAGGAGGGTTGGAACTAGCCGAATTATTTGAAGGAGGGTTGGAACTAGACAGATGATTCGAAGGAGGATTTGAACTACCCGGATTATTTGAAGGAAGATTTAAACTCTTTCTCTGAAAGTACTGTTCCATAACTGTACAATTGAAACAAAATAAGGGTTTTATATCTATTATTATGACTAATTGACTATAATTTATCAAATAAATAAATAAATAATATCAAATTATCAATTAAATAAATAAATAAAAATTAATTATACCTCGAATAACGTGTCACGTAGCCTATTTCTCCTCGAGTTTGCTACTGATCTTACTAATATAGAGAGAGCTAAATAAGAAAAAAAAATTATTTAAAAAAGAATAAACAAAATTGGTGTTTGCTCAAGAAAAAAAAAAGCATTCGACTTACTTTGGATTGGCGTACTCAAGAAGAAGAAAAAAATGCAGGATTCTTGGGATGCACACACACTTTGATGAAATTGGGTGATGCTATTGATCTTTTATAAAGAGAATTCTCAATTCTACTTAATTAAGGAATTCCCAACTCTATTTAATTAAGGAATTCTCAAAACCCAATTGAATAAAGAGAACTTTTAATTAAAACCCAATTAAGTAAGGAAATAGAAGCCCTTTTTCAAAAGCCCACAAAAAGCCCACATCAGTTTCCCTTTTTTTCTTTTTCTTTTTAATTTCAAAACCCTGGTCCAAAACGACGTCGTTTTGGCCAGGCTTCGTTAAAAAAAAATAGGAGCCCTCGCGAGCGCGCTGCGCGCAGCACCAGCAAGCAGCAGCTCCCCAGCCCAGTGGTTTGCGCATTTCATAGAGCACATTGTGTGCATCGCTGGTCTGAAGCAGAGATGCAACTCCAGCGTCTGTAATGGCTATTTCCGGCGAGCAGGCGCACCTCCTTGCGGCTGCACAGATCCGCCACTGCACGTGCTATATATTATCTACTGTTATAATATGGGTGAACGACACGTATTATATATATATATATATATATCTCATGGAACTAGCTAGGGAATAGTTTTTATTGATAATAATACATGCATTAATTATAAGTAAATTTGTAACACCACATGACAGTCTTGCTATGATTTTTTGGAGATTGAATATAGTAAAGATATCTTGTGTACATTTTCATGCATGTAAACTAATTATATTATTATTTTAAACGTTATCAGGCAAGCAATATAATCATCCATGGCCTTCGAATCCATCATTGCCGACCCCAACCACCAAGCTCAGTTATGGGTCCAGAAGGAAAGATAATACCAATAGGGCAGGTTGATGGAGATGCAATAAGGTTGGTAACAGCATAAGGTTTGGATAGACCACAATACACTCTACGAGTGCCAGGACGGTCTTCTCGATGTTACTCGCGGATCTACCCATATCACCATCTCCAACAATTGGTTCAGAGACCAGGACAAGGTTATGCTTCTCGGCCATGATGATGGCTACTTTCGGGACAAGAACATGAGGGTGACCGTTGTGTACAACCATTTTGGACCCAACTGCAACCAAAGAATGCCAAGGTAAAGGCCCCTGGGCTAGCTATATCCATATATTAATTGAGATCGCTGGCTACCTTTACTTTCAACTCCTCTATTTATTAATATTAGCAAAGTGTGTAGGTAATATAAGTGTGGGACATTTTCACCTTCGTATTCTCAACAGAGAGTGAGTATTATATTACTTACTATTGCATGCATGCAGGATTCGCTATGGATATGCACATGTCGTGAATAATCTTTACAGAGAATGGTCGCAGTATGCCATTGGGGGAAGCATGAACCCTAGTGTTAAGAGTGAAGCCAACCTCTTCATTGCACCAAAATCGGGAAACAAGAAAGAGGTAATTATTAACTCAAATGTATATATATTCAAGTTCAAATGCAATGCCCTTAATTAATTACTTAATGATTTTCCATGTACGCACAGATCACTTGGAGGAAGGACAGCATTGGAGACAAAGAATCCTGGAAGTTTTACTCTGTAGGAGATATCTTCGAAAATGGGGGCTTCTTTCGTCGAAACAGGTGCCGGAAGAGCAAAGCCAAACTATAACGGAGAACAAACTTTCCCAGTTGTTAATGCCAAATCTGTCCGCTCATTGACAAGGTCATCTGGTGCTTTGATATGCATCAAAAGATCCAGATGCTAATTAATTACGGCATAGGCTCATGCGATGCAATGTGGAGATGATATAATTGCATGTCATATATATATATATATATATATATACATGCATAGGAAAATCAATTGTATGTCAGCTGAAAAAAGGTGAACAATTGTATAGTGGATATATAAATCTCATCTCCCTCCTATAGTAATGCAAGATATATATATATATATATATAATCGATTATATATAATGCCATTGTTCACCTTTTTTACGATTATATATATATAATGCCATTACCCAAGACTATACTTATTTTACGATTTATTTTTATTAGTGATCAGGACTGGCACTGAAAATGGTCATAAGAACAGTTGATGTAAAAGATTTCAGTTTTATAATGATGCAGAAGACCAAATCCCAGATGCAATTCCACAAGGGTAAATGACCTAGGCCATTTTTTCTCATAAATAAAATTCATTTTTTATTATCGCGCAATGGGCTAATAGCCGGAAATCATTAGAATGGGAGGTATCGGAAAGAATTTAAATTCTCATTCCCCAACATCACTTGTATAAATAAAATAATTGAAGAAATAACTCTAGCCCAATTAGCTGAACTGGTATTTTAGCTCTAAACCGTAAAATAATATGACAAAATTGTATATTTAAAGCGTATAGCCGTTCGGCTATACTATCAAATGTTGTTCAGCAATTGAAATCTCCACTGTGATAATCGTTTTTCCATTTAAACAAACAAAAAAAATTGCAAAATCAGAAACATACGTAAATTGCACGCCATGGCAGCCACGGATAGAGACTCGAACTCGTAGTTAGGCGGTCTGGGCGGAGCTAGGCGGCCCCTAGGCGGTCTGGGCGGAGCTAGGCGGCCCCTAGGCGGTCTGGGCGGATCTAGGCGGCCCCTAGGCGGTCTGGGCGGATCTAGGCGGCCCCCTAGGCGGTCTGGGCGGATCTAGGCGGCCCCTAGGCGGTTTGGGCGGAGCTAGGCGGTATGGGAGGATCTAGGCGGCCCCTAGGCGGTGTGGGCGGAGCTAGGCGGCCGCTAGACGGTCTGGGCGGATCTGTCTGGGCGGATCTAGGCGGCCGCTAGGCGGTCTGGGCGGATCTAGGCGGCCTGCGCAGGTCTGCGTTGGTGTTGAGGTCTGCTGCTCTCATAAACCAGAAGTGCCATGTGAAGAACAAGGATATTAGGAAGTTTCTTGATGGGATTTTTGTGAGTGAGAAGAAGAGTGCTTTTTCTGATTTTGATTTTGAGTTTTTCATCTGTACTCTTCTTCTTTTTTTAAATCTTGCATGGAAATTTTGATGAGTAAGTTTTACTATATTTTGGGTTTCTGTTGCCAAACATAAATTGTGGAATTCTGGGATTATTTTATGCAGGTTATTGATTTTTAAAGTGAGAAATGTGATGGCCAATCTTTCATTTGCACAATCTTCAGTTTTTAAATGTTTGAGCCAAAATGGGGAAGAACACTTAAAATAATTTCCACTAATAAAAATGCCCCAAAAATGGTTCTTTATAGTTGCACCATCAAGTAAGTTAAACCCTGGAAAAACGTAAGGTGTCATGCCTTTTTAGAATTGCTAAACTGATTGTGAATTCCGCTAAAAAACCAACCCATTAAAACTTGATTCAGTGATCCCAATTAGTCCAAGAAAGTTTCATATCCGTATCAATGGAGGGTTGCTCTTATTACTTGGCAATGGTACTGGTTCAGCTCATATATGGTGGATCAAACATCCTCATAAAATTCTCCCTTGCAGAAGGACTCAATCCAATTGTCTTCGTCGTTTACCGCGGCATGTTATGGCCATGGTTTTGGTAGGACCATTTGCTTATGTACTTGAAAGGTAAGCTATCGATTCTTGCATCTCTTCATATTTCCAGGCAGTAAAAACAGAGAAAACTAATTCTTGAATGGATTTGTAAAGGAGGAAACAAAGGCCTTCACTCTCATTTTCTGTAGCTGCCAAAATTTTTGTGCTTGCCTTGTTTGGAACCACCATCTATCTGAATGTGTACTATGCTGGTTTAGCATACACTTCTCCAACAGTTGCATGTGCCTTGAGTAATGTTATTCCCAGCTTGACATTTCTAATGGCAGTTCTACTTGGGTATATTCTCTGTCCTTTCCTTTCCCTTGCTTAATTAGAAAGGGGAATATAAATGTTCTTTTTTCCTGTTCTGCAATTTGCTTGTTCTTACACAGGTTGGAGAAGTTGAAGATTAGAACTGCTAGAGGTCAAGCTAAGGTGGCTGGCACACTTTTCTGCATTGGTGGTTCTCTTGTTTTCACTTTCTGGAAAGGAGGATACCTATTTAAAGGTTTCGTAAATATATCTGTTGGTGAGATGAGGCATGTGAAGGAAAACTGGATCAAGGGGCTTTTCTTATTCTGACGAGTCACATTGCATGGAGTGCATGGCTAATCGTCCAGGTGATTTTATAATTGAATTAAGATGACACCCTTTTATGTCACGTAATGGCCAAGTTTAGTTCTTTGTCCAACTTTGGCTCTCTGGTCTCACAGGCTGTGGTCTCCAAAGTCTACACTGCTCGATTATCGCTAACCACGATGATATGCTTTTTCGCGTCGTTGCAATCTTCTTTTCTTGATCTGTTTTTTGCAAGAAATCCAATTTCATGGAGACTGGAGTGGAACCTGCAACTTTCAACCATCGCCTACTGCGTGAGTGTTCTCTTTCTCATATCTTATTATTAGGTTCACAACGTTGATTTCAACAATTGATCATGCAAATTCTTATCTGAATCTGTAGTTCGATTTAAAAACCTCACAGCAGAACATGTAGAAGAGAACATTGTCTTGTGTGTGTGTGTGTGTATAAAGTAAATAAATGGGACATCCTATTTTGTTGTGTCTTATTGGGTATTTTTCTCCTTGTTGGTATAAGATATATTTGAATCTGTCACAAGTTCTGTTCTTCATCCACTCCTTACTTTTGCAATAGGGAGTTGCAATCTCAGCATTAGCCTACTACCTGCAAACATGGTGCATCAGTTACAAGGGACCAGTCTTTGCAGCTATGTTTATTCCACTTCAAGTCATTATAGTGGCATTGTTCTCGGCAATTTCTTTCGCAGAATGACTTCACTTTGGCAGGTAATAACCTGAAGAACACAGACACCTTCTTCCTATTCCATCTTACTACTTCCACATTTGATGGTTTCACTTATCCATTCTATCACGGTAGTTTGTTTGTCATGAAAATTAGTCACAAATTAAATGTGGATTTTGTGTAAGTGGTGATGTGCAGCTTGATCGGAGCGTTTCTCATTATTGTGGGCCTTTACTGTGTGCTGTGGGGAAAGAAGGAAAGACACTCTTGTTGCTGAAGAGACAGAGAATGGAAACAGGGTACTTGAAGACTGGAGAATGATATTTCAGTCATAAATCCAGTCACTAGAGAAAGGACATGATCATAAGAGTTCAGTTTCTTTTTACACATTATACAGAAGATCAATCCCAGATAAAATTTCACAGAGGTAAATGCCCACCACCTAACTATAAATGATTGCCAAATTGATAATGGTTTGAGCCCTACAATCCAATCCATATGAACTTATTAATACAAATCAACAAGAGAAATCCTTGTTCTCTTTCATGGTGTCATTTCAGGGAGTTTTCAATATCAATCACAAACCGGTATATCACAACACTTTTTAGTAGCCTCTCAATAGCTTCATTTGCAGATTGAATTGGAATTTTTCAATCATTGGATGAATTCCATTTGTTTTTTTTTTTTTTTTTTTTTTTTTTTTTTTTTTTTTTTTTTTTTTTTTTTTTTTTTTTTTTTTTTTTTTTTTTTTTTTTTTTTTTTTTTTTTTTTTTTTTTTTTTTTTTTTTTTTTTTTTTTTTTTTTTTTTTTTTTTTTTTTTTTTTTTTTTTTTTTTTTTTTTTTTTTTTTTTTTTTTTTTTTTTTTTTTTTTTTTTTTTTTTTTTTTTTTTTTTTTTTTTTTTTTTTTTTTTTTTTTTTTTTTTTTTTTTTTTTTTTTTTTTTTTTTTTTTTTTTTTTTTTTTTTTTTTTTTTTTTTTTTTTTTTTTTTTTTTTTTTTTTTTTTTTTTTTTTTTTTTTTTTTTTTTTTTTTTTTTTTTTTTTTTTTTTTTTTTTTTTTTTTTTTCCACAACCCCGACTCCAAATTTATTCCTATTTTAATTAAATTAAGAGAATTATTAATTTACTCTTGGGTTAAGGGTAATTTTGGCCATTTTCTTATCCGAAAGGATTTCGGGACCAAGAGTGGTTTGGTTGCGTAGGTGGTACTGAGACGAAACCGTAGATAGGCGGTAGGCTTGAATCGGAGGTGTAACGAAGTTTTGGCGAGCAAATTAGGTTCAGTGGCGGAACCGTAATTAATTTGAAAAGAGTTTGGGGTAAAATCAGATTTTTCACATTTACCCCTCACTTTCTCTCTCTCTCCCGCGTCTCCTCCCTCTGCGATTTCCCCCTCCCGAGTTACTGTTCACCGAATCGAGAAAACCCTCACCGCCGCCACTTCCGGTCACCTCAGCCTTTGAGACCGATCCCGTTCGACTCGTCTCGAAGCTCCGATCACAACCCACCCCATTTCCCCGCCGGAAACCTCGAATCCCGACGTCAGTTTCGACTGGTTCGAACCGGAAGTTTCCGATCGTTGCGCCGCCGCCTCCGCCGTCTGTTTCAAGTAAAGTTGGTGAGTTTTCTTCTCCTTTTTACGTATTCTAGCTGACTGTTGTTTAGGTTTGGATCGATTTTGAGGTTTGGAACCGAATTGGAAACCTAGGTTTTGGCCGGTTTTCAATTTGAAATTCCGGCCAGTTCCCGTGCGAATTGGACCTCGTGGTAGTTGAATAAAGTGATCCTGACCTTGAGAAGAAGCTAGGGTAGGAAGGGTGAGCGTTGGTGTGGAGATTTTCCGTCGCCGGAAATTCCTCTACACACCCACGCGCTGCCGGCGCGTGTGGCGGCGCGTGGGCAAGGTTGGTGAAGTTGCTTTTCATCCTGATGAGATCAGTAGGTTGTCACGAGTGCATAGGATTTTACGGATCTCAATTTGGATGTCGTTTGACTATCGAACGGATTTCGCATATTGTGCGTTATTCGGGTTCGATAAGTTCTAACCGTTGGATCGTTTCCAAATTGAAGTATGTTGATTTAGGTACTCTTAGAAACCTGTAGGAATTTGCGGATCGTGAATCGGAGCCCCGGATGTTCCGATTCAATAATTCAAAGTTTGTGGGATTAACGATAACCGTAGGATGGGAAGCGATTCCCAAACTTGTAACCGGACTTTAGGATATCCTATTGGACGTACACGCACCGGGATCTTGGGGATTTAAGTATTCTCTTTTGTGAATTCCCGTTTTGAAGGGTATTATATTAATCAAGGGTTCGTATCTCGAAATAGGTACTTCGGTCGATCGTTCGCAGCAGGCAGGACCCTCTCGGGGCCGGGCAGCGTGGGATTACCCGTGAGTGGACTTTGTTTTCAAGCATTTGCATGGTTTTATTGATAAAAGATTTGTGCATATGTTTTTAAATGGAAATGTGATTTATTAAGTATTTGGTTGATGACTTTGGATATTCATATACGTATTGGCAATATATTTTGAGTATGGCTATGTTTGAGTATTATGGATATGTTTATATGGATTTTGGGATGTCTATCTATATTGCCTATGTATAGAGTATGAGAGTGTTGTTGTGGTGAGATTGTGGAAAGATGTGAATTTGAGGGATGGTTTGTGAGATGTATGAGTATGGTAGGTGAGTACCATTCCCTGGTTACTAGGCTTCCCACACACGTCGTTGGCAGTGCCGGTGGGGTGGGAAGGCCATGAGATTGCGGGTCTCACACAGTCGTTGGCAGTGCCGGTGTGTGAGACACTTTCTATACGTGTCGTTGGCAGTGCCGGCGTATGGGAAGAGTATGTATATTGCTTGAGTATCATCACACACGCGTTGGCAGTGCCGGTGTGTGATGATACTGTCTGCGCGCGTAGGACTTGATATGAGATTTGTGAGCTACACGTGTCGTTGGCAGTGCCGGCGTGTGAGCTATGGAGTTCCGTCCCCCGGTTGGACTACTCATCCCTGGACGCGGGTTCTGGTTCGAAAATCCTGCGTACCAGCCAACAATCCCCCGGTTGGATTGTCTTCCCCGGTACATTAGTATGGAGAGAAGTATACGTTATATTATAGATATATATAAATATATACTTATATAGGTATACATATGTATGGGTTGGTGAGAGTTGCATACTTGTGGGAATGGAGTTGTGGTTTGAGATTTTTGAGAGTTATTGGACTTTGAGATTTTATGTTTGAGTATTTGATTTATGGATGTGGAGACTGCATGCTTGAGCATTATTTTTACATGGTGGGGTTACTATGTTGTTTTAAATGCAAACTTTATTTTTGTCCACTCACATATTTCTGTTTTGCGCCCCCCAGGCAGTAGTGGCTTTTGGAAGCGCTCAAGCAAGTTGCGAGCTCCAAACATTTCATCTGTAGATAGGACTCGTGTAAATTCCTTCTACTCTACTGTTGTTGTAATCAAATTCTGTTAGATGCTCTGTTATCGCCCATGTTAGGCTGTTACTTGAGGCCGGAGGCCACTTTACTTCGAATTGATGTATGTTGAAAGCATGCTGGCAGTTGGGATTTATATTATGTAAATTATGCAGGTTGAATGTTGTTGGGCTTGAGCATTTACAGGGGAGACTCTGCCAAAATTTTGGTAGGATGTCTTGGGTTTTTAGTAAGTGGGCCCGGCATCGGTGTGATGTCGGCAACAATACGGGGTCCGCCCCGGTTTGGGGAGAAATTCCGGGGCGGGTCCTGTCATATATATATACATGCATAGGAAAATCAATTGTATGTCAGCTGAAAAAAGGTGAACAATTGTATAGTGGATATATAAATCTCATCTCCCTCCTATAGTAATGCAAGATATATATATATATATATAATCGATTATATATAATGCCATTGTTCACCTTTTTTACGATATATATATATATATAATGCCATTACCCAAGACTATACTTATTTTACGATTTATTTTTATTAGTGATCAGGACTGGCACTGAAAATGGTCATAAGAACAGTTGATGTAAAAGATTTCAGTTTTATAATGATGCAGAAGACCAAATCCCAGATGCAATTCCACAAGGGTAAATGACCTAGGCCATTTTTTCTCATAAATAAAATTCATTTTTTATTATCGCGCAATGGGCTAATAGCCGGAAATCATTAGAATGGGAGGTATCGGAAAGAATTTAAATTCTCATTCCCCAACATCACTTGTATAAATAAAATAATTGAAGAAATAACTCTAGCCCAATTAGCTGAACTGGTATTTTAGCTCTAAACCGTAAAATAATGACAAAATTGTATATTTAAAGCGTATAGCCGTTCGGCTATACTATCAAATGTTGTTCAGCAATTGAAATCTCCACTGTGATAATCGTTTTTCCATTTAAACAAACAAAAAAAAATTGCAAAATCAGAAACATACGTAAATTGCACGCCATGGCAGCCACGGATAGAGACTCGAACTCGTAGTTAGGCGGTCTGGGCGGAGCTAGGCGGCCCCTAGGCGGTCTGGGCGGATCTAGGCGGCCCTAGGCGGTTTGGGCGGAGCTAGGCGGCCCCTAGGCGGTATGGGAGGATCTAGGCGGCCCCTAGGCGGTGTGGGCGGAGCTAGGCGGCCGCTAGGCGGTCTGGGCGGATCTAGGCGGCCTGCGCAGGTCTAGGCGGGTCTGCGTTGGTGTTGAGGTATGCTGCTCTCATAAACCAGAAGTGCCATGTGAAGAACAAGGATATTAGGAAGTTTCTTGATGGGATTTTTGTGAGTGAGAAGAGGACGATAGCTGAAGAGGAGTGTGTAGAAATTTAGGAAGGAATAGAAAATTAGGGAATGGCTCACTAATTGTGATGCCTGTATTCATTCATCTTTATATGATATTACAGTTGACGTTGGCCTAAGTATATATGGAAAGCTAAGGTTAATAAGGTAATACAAGATTTACACAATCATAGATTTAAACTAATACTAATATTGAGGGAGAGATTGTAGCACGACATCATGAATCCTGATTTGCAGAGGATTGAGCAATCATAGTAGCCGGGGGAGAGATGTGAGGTTGTGATTTGGGCTGATTGACTCTCGTCAGAGTGATTAGATTTTTGGGATTTGTGCTTGTTAGAGTGTTTTTTCTGATTTTGAGTTTTTCATCTTTACTCTGTTTTTTTAATCTTGGGATGGAAATTTTGATGAGCAAGTGTTACTATATTTTGGGTTTCTATTGCCAAACATAAATTGTGGAATTCCGGGATTATTTTATGCAGGTTATTGGTTTTTAAAGTGAGAAATGTGATGGCAAACCTTTCATTTGCACAATCTTCAGTTTTTAAATGTTTGTCTTTGAGCCAAGATCTGGAAGAACACCTCACTTACACTAAAAATAATTTCCACTAATAAAAATGCCCCAAAAATGGTTCTTTATAGTTGCACCATCAAGTAAGTTAAACCCTGGAAAAAGTAAGGTGTCATGCCTTTTTAGAATTGGTAAACTGATTGTGAAGTCCACTAAAAACCCAACCCATTTAAAACTTGAAGCAGTGATCCCGATTTTAAATCAGTCCAAGAGTTTGCTATGCTGATGTAATTTGGACCAGAAAACAACATGGAGACTCAAAAGTATCCTGTTGTCCCTGGGTATGTGGACTGATTCTATAACAGATGAATTAAGTAACCCTGAATTTATTCTCCTTCTAATTAAAGTCATCTGTTCTGTTTGTGATTATTTGGAACCAGGCATGAGATTGCAGGCATTGTAAAAGAGGTGGGTTCCAATGTTCAGCGCTTCAAAGTTGGTGACCATATGGGAGTGGGAACTCATGTCAACTCATGCAGAGATTGTGAGTACTGCAACGACAGATTTAATGGTGTTGGTGTTGATGGTACAATCGCAAAAGGAGGATACTCCAGTCATATAGTTGTCCATGAAGGGTATGAATTGAACTACCTTTTTCCCCTCTCCTCAAATTTCACATCTAAATGGCCTGTATTACAGGTACTGCTTCAACATACCAGAAAACTATCCATTGGCTTCGGCAGCTCCTCTACTTTGTGCTGGAATTACTGTTTATGCTTCGATGGTACGCCACAAGATGAACCAACATGGTAAATTCTAGGGTGATTGGCCTTGGTGGCCTAGGTCACATGGCAGTGAAATTTGGCAAAAGGCATTTGGTTTGAATGTAACAATTTTCAGCACTAGCATATCCAAGAAAGAGGAAGCTTTAAGTCAGCTGGGTGCAGATAACTTTGTGGTCTCATCTGACAGAAATCAGATGAAGGTAAAAATACATAAACTTTCTTACCTCATCACATGAACAATAGAAAAAATAGTGGAAATGATGGCTTATCCTATAGGTTTAGTATTTATCGGTTATTGTTTGCTATGTAGGCCCTGGTGAAGTCAGTAGACTTTATAATTGATATAGCATCTGGTGATCACCCTTTTGATCCATACGTTGAACTATTGAAAACTGGTGGAGTTCTGGTCTTATGGTGGGATTCCCCAGTGCAGTCAAAATCAGTCCTGCCAACCTTAATATCGGTACATTGGCATGTTTCAAATGATTGAAATGACAGTTTTATGTATCCAACTGTTATTGCAATTGCAAGTATATATAATGAACTCCATGCATTGACCTTTTGGCAGGTATGAAAACCATTTCTGGTAGTGTAACAGGTGGAACAAAGGATATCCAAGAAATGATAGATTTCTGTGCTGCAAATGGAATTCATCCAATGATTGAAATAATTCCAATTCAATCTGCAAATGAAGCTATTGAGAGGCTACTAAAAAGTGTTGTGATATACCGGTTTGTGATTGATATTGAAAACTCCCTGAAATGACACCATGAAAGAGAACAAGCAGTGGCGGATCCAAGAATTTTCATTCCGGGGGTCAACGTGTAAGAGGTTAAAAAAAATTGTACCAAATAGACCCATTGAAATGAAATGATAGTACTCTAATTCATAGTTAATAGATAAAAACCATACAAAATACTCATGTTCATTACTAAAGAAAACTACATCAACTTCAAAAAAATAGACGCACATTGCAATACACCAGAATATCTCTAAGAATGTGATAATAAACCAAAAAATTAGTGCAATCCTCTTCGCCTCCCAAGGCGTCTCGTCCTATTCGACTCCCAAGGCGTCTCATGCTATTCGACATAAAAACTAGCATATATTAGCGCAATCCTGCTCATTTTAAGGTGTTTACGTCATTTTTTTAGGTCCGTTGTAGTTTTGATTTTGGGCTTTATTTGCATTTTTTTTTTTTCGGGTTCTAGCTCTCAAACTTTGGACCTTTGTGAGTACTGTATTAAGGGGAGCTTATTCAAGCAAATATATTTTCAATACGTAAGAGTTAAGTTATTCTTATAAAACTCTTTGTGGATTGAACATCTAAGGTTTTTTACCTAGATTGACCTTAGGTCCATTCATGTATTCATATCATACATGAAAAATTGTTTTATGTAAAAATATGGCTAAGTATGAAAAATGGTTTTACAGAATAATCATTTTCTCAAGATAATTTTTGACAGCTTTTATTCCTTACACATCAAATAAAAGGTTAATTATGTACATGCCCCCTGTGCTTTCCAACTTATCTCAGATTACCACCTGTGGTGGAAAACGTCTCAAAGTACCCCCCAACGTGCAAAAAACTGTCTCACGTTACCCTTTCCGTCAGTTTTTTTGAAGTTCCGTTACACGAACGTTACTGTTAATCTCCCCCAAAATTCCAGAACAGCATCTCCTCCCATTTGTTACTGTTCATCGCACCAGTTTTTTGGGCTGCCATCGCCTCCTCCGGCCACCCCAAGCGACGACATGGATATCAAAAGAACCAGCACGTTGTCCTCTACCACCCTCACATCTCAGCCGCTGCCAACCGTCGTCTGGATCACCAAAAAAGCAAGAAATTGGGCCGATTTTACCCAAAATCTCCATTGCTCGTTCGGGCGATTCCGAGCACCATTTCTTCTCTTCGATCCAAGTATGATTTTTTCAACCTCTCGAGTTGTTCTTGCTGCTAGTTGTGTTGGTTAGGAGAAATTTCTGAGTTTTGGAGGGTAAATAAGCGATGAACAGTAACAAAGGGGAGGGGCTACTGTTCTGGAATTTTGGGGGAGATGAACAGTAACATTCGTAACGGAACTTCAAAAAACTGACGGAAAGGGTAACGTGAGACAGTTTTTTGCACGTTGGGGGTACTTTGGACGTTTTCCACCACAGGTGGTAATCTGAGATAAGTTGGAAAGCACAGGGGCATGTACATAATTAAGCCAATAAAAACTTGATTTTATGGGATTTTAATATGAAGTATAGTTGACTTAATGAGACCTTCATTTTAAAGCCTACAATCGTATTTTGTCACTAAAACTTATTTTCATATTTAGGCCCTGGTGAGTCATTTTTTTTTTTTTTTTTTTTTTTTTTTTTTTTTTTTTTTTTTTTTTTTTTTTTTTTTTTTTTTTTTTTTTTTTTTTTTTTTTTTTTTTTTTTTTTTTTTTTTTTTTTTTTTTTTTTTTTTTTTTTTTTTTTTTTTTTTTTTTTTTTTTTTTTTTTTTTTTTTTTTTTTTTTTTTTTTTTTTTTTTTTTTTTTTTTTTTTTTTTTTTTTTTTTTTTTTTTTTTTTTTTTTTTTTTTTTTTTTTTTTTTTTTTTTTTTTTTTTTTTTTTTTTTTTTTTTTTTTTTTTTTTTTTTTTTTTTTTTTTTTTTTTTTTTTTTTTTTTTTTTTTTTTTTTTTTTTTTTTTTTTTTTTTTTTTTTTTTTTTTTTTTTTTTTTTTTTTTTTTTTTTTAAGAGAGACAGGAGTTGGAAAAATACTGCTATATAGCGTGATTGTTGATATATGTGATAACAAGTCTTGTCGGGCGGGAGATGTCTATTCACCTCCGAAAGGACACGGGTTTGGGATGCTTCATATATAAAACCAGTCGTGCGATTGTTTAACATGAAAATCACTGAAATTCCTCCGAATGGTCACCGCTCTCTACCTTCAAATTGTAGTCACTCGTTTGGAACAAGAGTCTAGTTACTATATCTTCAACTGTACACACAAGTTAAGAAGAACCAACCGTGGATCCAGAAGATGCAATCATCAATTAGCTTCCCTTGAAGAAAAACAAGACCAAAATCAGATCGTAGGTAAACCAGGACGATAAAGATGTCATCGCTATATTTTATTCCATTACTTTATTCTCTTGTCTGTTTTTCACCAAAACCCAGCCATCAGATGCCAGCATTGGTGGATTCCGTTCAGCCTCTGTCTCTGATTACTTTCATCTTTTCCATAAGCTTCACCAGATTCGCCAGCAAGTTGGAGCGTATACCAACACCAGCACGACATCACTGTCATGGAGCGAGATTCGAATCACCACCGAAAATGCTCCAACGAAGAGATCCAAACCAATACTCATGATCTGCTTCAGCAACAGCAACAGATTTTGAAGGGCGATATTGTGAACGTTTATCTGAGAAATGGCTTCATTTACTTGGTATTTGCTGCCCTTCTTGTCTACTCGGTTATCATCTTAATAGCCTGTCGATTCGTTATCTGTAAAGACTGATTCCACAAACCAGTCTTAGAGCATCTCTAAGGGATTATGCAAAGGAGCAGGCAAATAAGGCTTGCCTAGCCACGTCAGTTTTCTCCTCCTCCTACGGTAAGTGTTTTGGAATTTTGGAAACATAAACGTTTAGCTGTTTTTCTTCGTGTTACATTTTTGCCTTTATCAAGTGTATATGTTTTTCGTAGAGGTTGCCCTAAACCCTTTTCATTACCGAATTAGTAGAAATCATGTCTCATATCATCAATCTGAGTGTAGTACTGGTTAAAATAAATGAGACCGCGATTGTATTTGAGTTCGAATAATGAAAAGTTTTTATGTTTATTTGTAAAAAGTTTCATAAACATTGAAGTTCTTTGATATATGCAGTGGCGCTGATTTCTAGTTGTAATTAAATGGTAGAGCTTGCAAGGAAGACTTCATTGTGAAAGTTAACAATTGAGAGCTTGTGAATAAAAAAGACAACAGCATCTAGAGAAAGTAGCAGACAGCATATGTTGCCCCAAAATCTAACCTGAGCAACAATCTCAGCAGACAGCATAGTCAGTATAGCAATGCTCTACGCTCCAACAAAAGCTTAATTCAAGTCTTGTTTTGTGGACGATTTAATTTCCCGGTGACTCTCATCTGAACCTTTCGTATCTAATTAACATGATCTCATATTGTTCGTTAAAGCAAAAAACACGAGCTTATGAGAATTTGGATAATGTTCTTTACTTCGTATTAAAGTCGAGAGTGTGAATTCCACAGTGACAAATCAAATGATTTTGCATTGCCAGTTGGTTTTATGATGGAATCTCATATTGTAATATGGTATCAGAGCAAGATATTCACGCACCCCACGTGCTTAAATTAAGCAAATGATGTAATTAGCCAAAATCCAACAAATTTGAGAGAGAGGAATGAGGGATGAAGGAGGGAGCCCAGATTTTAAGTAAAAGACAATTATGGCGCGTTAAGGACGCCTCAATGGCAAAAGAATTCTCCGTATAATAAAGCAAGGTTGTCAGTATTACGGTTGATCCATCCGCTTGCGTGATTTGCGTGAGAGAGCAATTTTGTAGAATTTTCTCACACGATAATGTGTTGTTGAAATTTCAATTTCTTTTTTGTCAACAAGTGTACACTACAAACAAAAGTGTCAATAGTCACCATTATGGTGGCATTTGATGGGGTGACTAAAGACTTTAGTCACTATTATTTGGTGACATTTGCTAGAACGGAGCTTTTTGGTTGGGTTGTGCTCTTTGGGTCTGGCTGGTTCGTAATTTGAGAATTATGGGTTCTCATTTCCCGTTGCCAATAATTATGGGTTTTCATTTCTTCTTGTTATATATAGACCAGTCAGTCTCAAAGAAAAGTCGGTTTCCAGTTTCTAGTATAAACCGATCCCACTACAAAGCCCAGCCTTTGAACCGGGCGGTTCAATTATATAGGGCCCACTACATGACAATTTTGGACCAGTCGGCCCAAAACATTGGAATTTGAGGGTGAATGCATCACTCTTTACTAGGTTTAGGGGTCAGCTCGTGACCTTTTAAAAAAAAGAATAATTTTTTACTAGTTTTGGGCACTTTAAAAAGTCAATTGCGTGTGTTTTTCCCTAAAGTATTGGACATAGGAAATAAAGTTTTCAAGTTCTAATAATACGTGCAGTTGTAGTCAAATTCTATTCAAACTTGGTAAGAAATAAAGTATCATGGTGACTGATAAGATGGCCTTTTCATGTTTTATTGGAGAAATAGGATTTCAAGCCGTCCAAATCCACTTTGATTCAAGACTGGTTTTGAATGGAGTTCCACGTTGATAGAGAACTTCGAGAAGGATTGTTTTTCTTTATTTTATTTTAACTCAGTTATGAATGATATGATAAGATTATCATATTAAACATCAGCTATGCAGTTGATATTAACAATTTAATTATGCAATATGTCGGTTGGCATTGCTCATGCAAGCTACACCCTCTCATCCTTCTCTAGATAGGAGAGAATTACAACTGAGATCGGGTTGCTTATTTGTCATTTTTTGTCGATGGTAAATAGAGCATTCGCAACACGAGGTTGCTCTGTGTTATCTTGACGCGCATAGATATGAAAAGGAAGCTCATTTTCTCTAGTGGAAAAGATTATCCCAAAGAGGAAGAGTGTCTCAAACTTTTCTGACCCATATCGATTGCGAATTATCATTAGAGACAAAGTAGGGGTCCCTCCACTAGACGACCTTGAGCTTGAAATGATTGAATTACCGACTAGAGATCTTGAATTATTTTCATGGTTTCATCACAGAATTGTTTTAAGCCACAGGTGCTCAAGCTTTTGTGTGTGGATGATCTGTAAAGCAAAAGCAGGTTGAAGCGTAATCCCTTTGAACGGTGTAAACTTTGCCAAAGAGATGTTCTCACGCTTCAAATGGAGAAACAGTAAGTGTGCACTTAGAGCCACTGTCCTCAGATGTTTTTTCTTCTGTTTTTTGGGCTGATTTGGTCCACAACATCATCAATACAAAATCCTTCCCTTTTTTTTTTTTTTTTTTTTTTTTTTTTTTTTTTTTTTTTGTAAAGGAAAAGAAAGGGGGTTACTCACACGCACTCGTGCCTAGGGGTTACTATCCCGTTGGCTTTTGTTGTGTATCTTGCATAATAACGTGTGGAGCTGAGTGCGAGGGTTGGTGAGAGTGTATTGGCTGATTGAAAAAGCCAACAGAAGTATCTCTGTGTATATAAGTTGTATGGAGGAGGGGAATTTAATTACTCTAAGCCTCCTTGCATTCTTATCTTTAGCTCTCTTATAGTTTGAGCATGGCTAACCATCAGCTCTCTTATAGTTTGAGTATGGCTAACCATCAATATCCACCAAATGGTGACAAAGAAAAGAGAGAAAACATGGAGAAAAGAAAACAGGAGTTGCTAACTACCATTGAGAAGCAGGATGATAAAGTACATCAACTTCAAACGAGCGCCTTCAACCTTGCAAACTACTACTTCGTCTTTCAAGGAATTATTTTGGGGGCTATCGTCACTGCCACCTCAGCGCTCAGATGCTCGGATCGCTGGTTCCTTTTTAGCCTCTCTCTGATAGCAGCTATACTCAACTTGGTTTCATTGCTTGTAATTGGAAGCAATTATAAAAGAAGCGTCATGCAGAGACACCAAACCAAGGGTGAGCTCATTGAATTGGAAAGTGATCTGAGCAAGCTAGAAACTTCACCTTCAGATCAAGGGCTCAAAACTAAAATATTAAGCTACTGGGATACGACAAATATTCAACATCCACAGGTTGCTTCTAATCATCATCCTGCGACCCTAGATATTAAGGAAGAACCGGAAGTAAGGCATAAAAGGAGGGTCATTCCTGTTGTTACAAATCATCTACGTGAGTTCTACTTTGTACTTTGCATGGGTATATTTATAATCTTTGCCGTCATCGTGATTGTGGGTTGCTGGACCATTCCTTGCAAGAAAACTCTTCAATGCACACCCCAGATATCGAACGCCAACAGTGATAAATGTATTAGGGTTTGTGAAGGTGCCAAGTGTATGAGCATCTGCGCCCAGTTCTAAGGCTTAAAGTTCAACAGTTTCTATATAGCTTTGAGCTAGGGTTATCCAAGTAGATTGGAACCACAATAAAGTTTACCATATTTTGATGCTCGTCATTTAATCTATAATAGTTTATATATGATTTCGTGCATGTACCGATTTCACAAATAAGGATGAATATGACTTTCTGAGTGTTATTAAAGAATCGGATTAGGATGAATTTAGGTCTTCAGAAACATAAAATTAAAAAAGTTGGCTTTTTCTGCTTGTAACTTGTTTTTTTTTTTTTTTTTTTTTTTTTTTTTCTTAATTATCATCATCATATCATATATTTTCTATACCCTATCTTTTTGTTGTTTACGCTAATATTGAACAAAAAAGATGAAGTAGGTTCATCATCTATGCTAACAAGCCAAGTCATAGGTATATTTATCGATGAGACTAACAATTGAAAAATACTTCCCTTGTAAGTAGGAACACCTATATTCCCGCCAACGATAATATGTACATGTGTGTAGAAATTTTTCTTTTTGTATTTTTCATAAATTATTTTTGCACATATATCAAACCGTAATTTGTAAAGAGGTAAGCAGTTGGGTGTTTACTTTGTGTTTTTGATGAATTATCGTTAACAATTTACCTAAGTTTGGAGTTTGGATGTGGACCAAAAGAGGAGACAATCTGCCTGTGCTGGGACCTGGGAGCTTTGTCAAGTTGGTCCTTCACTTCACGGGGGAAGTCTTGTGCGTAATTTTGAGTGGGGCTAACTGTACGTAATGGTCCTGCATCCTCTGCCGACTGAATTATTACAAGAATCTACCTGATTTATAATCACATATATATACATATAATCAGAAATATAGATAGAGTTCCAAAAATAAATAGAGCCACAAGTGCAACAACTGCAAATGGAAGAAAGAAGAGCTGGACGTTGACCTGGTAAAATAGCGGACCAAAAAGAGAAAAATACTCCTCAAAATTGTGAAAAATATTATCTTTATTTGATAAATACATTTATTTGGTATTGGTGTTTGTTGTTCAAAACGACACTTAGAGCATCTACATTGGTAGTTTGTAAAGGTGGATGTATGCTAAATTTACACCTATTGTTGTTGGAAAATTGTTGCAGTGGGAGGATGTAAATGCTTGTATATTTACTTTAGCCACCAGATGTGTATAAAAAGATGCTGATTTACATCCATTTTTACACCCACTTTGCGGACTCTGCAAGCAAGAAATGAGGAGAGAGGAGAGAGAAGAGCAGCTGAAAAAGATTGAGCTACTCTACCTCTACACGCAAGTAAAAGAACACTCTCCAAACAAAGTAACATGGCGATCAATGGTTGAAGATGAGATCAAATCCTATCATGTTGGGTCTTGATTTGTGTGCAAATCAGAAAAATAATGGATCTTGAATTGTGTGCAAAAACCTGATAAGATACCAATGGTTCATATTAAATGTATTGTACGATCCAATGATTCTAGTTCGATGAAATCATATCTTCTTTGAATTGAAATTTTTTTAGGTTTATTTGTTTGGAAAAATAAAATAAACCTAACACACACAAATTTAATTTTAAAAAATGAACAGAAAAAAATTAAAACCAAAATAAAATTAACACAAGAAAATTAAATATACATATTTGGATTTGCAACTTCTCCATTGAAGCAAAAATCACATTTACATCCCCAGAGGTGTAAAGGGAATATAAAAGTGGCTTTTTATACCTCCAAATTTACACAACTATTGTAGATGCTCTTACCTTGAATGTATGGTACAACTTCATAAGAATAAATTTTTTAAATAAAATCCAAAAACATAATTAATAGAGCTCTTACTACGATTCGCTTAGTTTAGATTAATTTAAACTATAGCTTATAAAAAATAAAAATTAGAGAAGAGAAAGGAAGAGAAAGAAAACTAAATTGAACCGGGCCGCTAGTCTTGTACACGGCCTGACCAGCCCACATGGCAATTGGGTCTTTTACTTTCTATAAAAACAATGGAATTTGAATTATAATTTTAAGCTTGAGCCGAACTCATGAGACGTGAAAGTGTCCACTGATTGCACGAGATGCCCTGCCTATCCTCAGTTTTCTTTTAAGGAAAACATCCATAGTTTTTTGGTTGAAATTGCAAGGATGCCGTTTTTATCTCATTCGAAGCATAGTTGTTTATCTGATGCTTCAAGCTTGACGTTGGACATCCACTCACAAATGCATGCCAAAAAAGGATAAAAATAACACGCATATGCACTGAAACACATATATAGCTAGACACTCAAAAGAAAAGAAAAAGCTGAGTAGGTGTACTGAATTGCTTTTCATGTTCTATCTTGCAGAGCCACTTAGCATTGGAAAGTCAAGGGACCTAGTATGGACTTGAGTGATGTATGACATTGGGCTACTTCCCCATTATCAATCGTGATTGGAACCTTTCAACATAAACGCTGGGGTTTTGGCCTTGTCTAGTCACTTGGCATGTGCTGGGTTTATTGTTTCTTTTAACGCGATGCACTTTCTTTTGCATTTCTTGACATCGTTCGACTCTTAATCCAAATTCTCGTCACATAAAAATGCAAGAGTTTTCTCTTTAACTTAGAGTTCAACACAACCAAAAGTTTCTGGTAAAGAATTGGAACAATCAGATCAAACTCAACCTCAAAGTTCCGGAAAGAAACAGGTTGGTTCTGAGTGTCCTACAAGCACAGACAATAACCGAAACAACGGCATAGAAGGATCTTCCTTGCTGATCCTTGTGCAGATTGTAAACGTAAATTCTACTTTGTAATTTGCATGGGTCTGTTTGTAACCTTTGCCATCATCGTGATTGTGGGATGCTGGACCATTCTTTGCAGGGAAGCTGATAAATGTAAGCACCCAGTATCCAATATTGATAAATGCATTAGGTTTTGTGAAGGTGCCAAGTGCATAAGCATCTGCACTGACTACTAGGGTTTCAACAATGGTTTCAGCTCATGGGAATAATTATCCAAATAGTTTGGGAAAAAAACTAAGTTTATGTACGTAGAACGTTCTTAACTACCCTAGCTAGATTCTATCCCTTATAAACGTTTGGGACAAAAACATAACCATCTGCACTGACTATTAGGGTTTCAACAATGGTTTCAGCTCCTAAAATACGTTATAAAGGTCGTTATTAATGTTTGAGTAAGGGCTCTTCATCGTTACAAGTTTTGATAGAGGAGAAATTATACAATGATACTGTACTACCACATGGCATTTGCCAGGTAGTAGTTCATATGAATGAAATGCTGACAACTGGACAGCTGCAACTAAAAGAAGAAAGGAGCTAACGTCCGTTTGATACTGGCGTTAAAGTCAGCCTTGAAACCTTCTTGGAAAATTGTATGGTAAATACTGCACCAAATAGCACCTTTCCTCCTCACTGCCCAAATTTCTGCAATTTTTTTTTATTCAACTCTTTGGTTCTCCTTGAGAAGCAGATATGTTGTTATTTTATTGGTCCGTACTACCACTTTGCACAGTATTATTGTATAATTTCTCTCTGGGGTGGGCCTTGGTGGTACGCTTGAAATAATTGCGAAATATCATTTCAGACAAAATAGAGGGGTCCCTCCACTACACACGCTTGAAATAATTGAATTACAGAGTAGAAATCTTGTGTGTGGGTGATCTGTAACGCAAAAGAAGGTTCAAGTGTAAATCCCTTTCCACAATGTAAATTTTGCCAAAGATAAGTTCACACTTATGAACAGAGATGCAGTAAGTTTGCGCGCGAGCAACTTTCCTCCGCTATCTTTTTCCTCTGTTTTTTGGGTTGATCCGGCGTGGTCGACAACATTATCAAAGCAAAATCCGTCCTTTAACAATGGACAGATGTCCTGCACCAAAAAATCTTGACTTTTTATTATTATTATTTATTTATCAAAGGTAGGAATGGGGAGGGGTTATTCACACACACGGTGCCTAGGGTATCGACGTATCGTTTCCACTATGTACTACCCCGTTGGAGCTGAGTTTGAGAGTGAGTGTACTGGCTTATTCAAAAAGCCAACAGAACTATCTCTGTGTATATAAGTTGCATGGACGAGGAGGGGACTTCACTCTAAGACTCTCTAGCTCTCTTACTTTGAGCGTGCTGCAGATTAATGGACACCCATCCATGTCCGCCAAATGGTGACAAAGAAAAGAAAGAAAACATGGATAAAAGAAAACAGGAGCTGCAAACTATAATTCAGAAGCAGGATGATCAAGTAAATCAACTTCAAACGAGCGCCTTCAACCTTGCAAACTACTACTTCGTCTTTCAAGGACTTATTTTGGGGCCTGTCGTCACTGCCACCACAGCGCTCAGATGCTCAGATCGCTGGTTCCTTTTCAGCCTCTCTCTGATAGCAGCCATACTCAATTTGGTTTCATTGCTTGTAGTTGGAAGCAAATATAAAAAACGCGTTATGCAGAGACACCAAACCAAGAGTGAGCTCATTGAATTGGAAAGTGATCTGAGCAAGCTAGAAACTTCACCTTCAGATCAACGGCTGAAGGCTAAAATATTATCGTACTGGGATACGACGAAAATTCAACATCCTATGACTGTAGGAATTAAGCATGAATCGGAACTAAGGCGGAGGGTCATGCCTGTTGTTACAAATCATCTACGTGATTTTTACTATGTAATTTGTATGGGCCTGTTTATAAGCTTTGCCGTCATCGTGATTGTGGGTTGCTGGACCATTCCTTGCAAGAAATCTCTTCAATGCACACCCCCGATATCAGACGTCAACACTGGTAAATGCATTAGGGTTTGTGAAGGCGCCAAGTGTATGAGCATCTGCACCCAATTCTAGGGCTTCAAGTTCAACAGTTGTAGCTTTGAGCTATAGGGTTATCCAAGTAGATTGGAACCAACAATCAAGTTTACCATGTTTTCATGCTCGTCATTTAATATGTAATGATTTATATGATTCTGTGCATCGACAGATTTCATAAATAAGAATTCGAATGAATGCGACTTTCTGAGTATTATTAAAGAATTAAGCCTCATAAGAGATAATTTTCTTACTTCAGCACATAAAATAAAAAAAGTTGGCTTCAGTTCAAGAAATAACTAAGCCACCCTACCCCAGCAAGGAATAGGTACAATATTATCGACGGGATGAAGACTTTACCTAAGATTGGAGTTTGCATGTGGACCAAAGATATATGTGCTGAGACCTGGGACCAGAATCTGCATGTGTTGTCAAGTTCGTCCTTCACTTCACGAGGGAAGTCTCGTGTGTACGACTGCTGCACAGTGGAGTGGGGATGGCTAACTTTACGTAATGGACCTGCATCCTCTGCTGACAGAATTATTTCAAGAATATACCTGATTTTTAATTATATATATTCAGAAATATACATAGAGTTCCAAAAATAAATATAGCCACAGGTGCAACACAGTAACTGCAAATGGAAGAAAGAAGAGGTGAATGTTGAGCTCCTAAAATAGCGGAGCAAAAAGGAAATATTATCAAGGTTATGAAATATTCGTTGCCGAACTTGTTGCTTCACCCACCAAAACTTCTCTACGTTTGATTAGGGTCTACATTTGATTAGGGTTGAATATTGTGAGTATGATGTACTTATTAAAATTATTTTTATTTCATAATTTAAATTAGTAATTCAATAAATAGTTTGATAGTATGGTATACTCAGTTAATTTTAGGGTTCGTTTAAGAGCACTCTTAATAGAGCCATTACTATTCAATTAGTATAAGCCCAGCTCTGACTATTGCTTATAAAATAAAAATTAAAAAGGAAGAGAAGGAAAAAAATTGAAAGCCAACTTGAAATGGATGGGGCTTTTCTGAAATTACCATAAGCCCAGCTCTGACATTTGAACCGGGCCGTTCAATTATTTCGATCTCATTACATGAAAATTTTAGACCAGTCGGCCCACATGGGAATTGGGTCTTGCTCTTTACTTTCTATCAAAAATGGATTTTTAAAATAAATATATTTTAGAAGTGTGCAGTTGATCAAAATTCAAAAGCGTAGACAGACAGATTAGTTAACAATTTAATTATGCAATGTAGGTGGGCATTGTCCATGCAAGCTAGATCCTTCATCCGATTCTAGAAGTGTTTGGTCCAAAAAATTCGGAATAACTCGTTTCATATGTTTCAAGCCATAATAAATTAACTCTTAAGTATTAGTATTGTTATATTATAAACCAAGAAGTTTCATTTAGTTCATGAACCTAGAATTGATCGCTACTTACAGTTTTAATAACAAAAGGGGTTTGTAGCTAAGTACTTAAAAGCATTTTACTGTCGCATCCAAGGTTAGATCTTCGATTTCTCCCATCTCGCTTATATTTTTTTTATGGGTCATACTAAAATCATACATGATAACCCAACAATAATACAACATTTATGTAAAACCCGATTTTAAAATTGGATGACAATATGTCAATGTAAGTTGATTTATTTACAAATTATGCCACTAGATCTTTATTTAGTGGCTGATATATTATCCTCATTCGTCCTCAATGTATGTTTATATTTCCTGAAAGAAAATCCCAAGGTATATATAATGGATTTCTAACATAAACCCATAAAAATATAATATATGTTGATGCTCAAAATGGTTAGGCCAAGATTGAGTCCAACTTAGTGATGAGGTGTGATGGATGATGAATGAAGGTGAGGACCTTAAGCATGTGTGTAAAGACTTGGGCAAGCGATAAATGTAAAGAAGACAAGATATACGTGGTTCACCCTTAATGAATGGGCTACGTCCACGGAGAAGTATTCTCTCATTATAATGGTGTATGATTACATTCGTACATGGGGTTGGACCCGAATATAAAGATGACAAGTGAGATGCCCAGGCCAGGGATCTAGGAGAGAGTCCCCGGCCCTAGGGTCTAGCTCTGAGACCCGGATCCTCTTCTAAGTGGAGAGAGGAAGTCCCTTTTTCACATGGATACTATTCCCTATTTATAAGGAGGTGAAAGTGGAAGATTTGTGTAGATTTCCGATGTGGGACTTTGTGCAAGTCACTGTGGTGGTGACACGTGTCTGCCTTGGTGCTAGTTGTTTTGAGGCTGGATATGTTCGGTTGATTATGGTGTAAACAATATAGAAAGACAATGATCATATTTTGATTCAAAGATGACCTTATGTTGAGGTTAGAGCAAACGGTTGGCCTTCTACAAACAGTTTGTCAGTGGACCTTGGTGACATAGAACTGAGAATGCGAGTACATCTCACAGTTTGGAAGCTGCATATTGATCACCACCCGTACGTTGGGCACACACACATTTGATATAGAAAATTAATATGGGTTCCATGTTCTCTTGTCAGACTGAACTAGTGAACCTTACCGATGAGATTTTAGAATTAAAAGAGTGTCCAGCCGGAGATTCAGAGGGCGAATATGCTGACCCGATTCAACTGCTGCCTCAAAAGCGCAGGCGGATCAGGTCAACGGGGTTCCATCGTCATTCGGTGGACTCTGGTCGTTGAAGAGACATCAAGCTCTTCGTGAAAGGATCAAATGATGGTAAGATGAGTTGTGTGATGATATTCGCAGAACACGACTTCATCTCCTGCGGCAAATTTACCTTTCGAATGAAGAACAAGAGACTTGCCGTCGACAGGGGTAGAGCTGGCGCTCAGGGGAGCCACGATGACCACCCACGACGAAAGTACTATATGCTTCCCTCTTTGTAACTTATAGCATATATATTTAGGCATGAATGTAATTGGATTATATATGTTTCTTTTAATTGATGGATTTACAAGCTTATTAATGTTCTTGATGATTGATTAAATGGTCCTGAATATTGTGGTCCACACAGGATATCCTTTGTTTTGGAAGACCTAATTAAGGGGAAGTTTTTGAAATCGACCAATAGCAACTAGGTAATGTTTATTTAAATCTCTCCCCCTCTCTCTATGTCTAATTTTTCTGCTAATTCACATGTTTCTTAATCTTAGGGTTTAGGGTAATTAAGTTGTATTAATCTTATATCTATATATACGATAGGACAATTTTCTCTTACATAGTTGCGAAACAAAGGAAATATTTTTGCTCACCATTTTAACCTAAGGTGTACCATCATCACCATTCTCAACACTTGACAGGTGTTTATGGGCCTAACCATAGTTAAAATCCAATCTTCCACATTTTAGGCCTAATTTTGATGCTTCTTTTGAAGCCTTTTGAGTTCCAGCATATTTTAACCCAGAAATATAAATTCACAACCTCAACTTCTCAAGTATATATAAATTCACAACCTCCTCAACTTCTCAAGCATTCACAACCTAAAGAAAATTAAAATTACAATTCCAAGCATTTCAATTAAAGTTAAACTTCTCAAGCATTCACAACCTCACCTTTTTCCGGCGGCTGGAGTGGCGGCCGCTGTCGGGGAAGGGCCGGGTCGTGACGCCGGGGCTGAGCCGGTCCTTTTGGCATCGGTCCCATCCGCATCCGTGGTCGGTGGCCGGAGTTGCAAGGGAGGAGGGCGACGGCTGTCGCGAGGAGGATAGAGAGAGCACGCGGGAGGAGAGAGAGAGAGAGAGAGAGATCTGAGGGCATTTTTGACTTTTATCAAAAATCCATTTTCCAAATAATTACTATTGTGCCACTGAGTTTCATTCGATCGTAACTCTCTCGTTATAACTCCGATTCGAGCATTTCGTGTCTACGGACTTATCTCACTATGCTCTACGCAACGGTACAGCCGGAATTCCCAAATTCCTTCCTGATAATAAATGACCAAATTAGCCCTATCCCAAGGGTAAATTCGTAATGTCACTCAAATTAATTAACATGGGATAAATTTGGAGTCGGGGTGTTACAATAGCGAAGATAGCGATCCTTACCAAGTCAACCAACCCACGGCACTCATGCGACATATTTAAACCACTACTATATTCTCTCTCTCAAAAAATAAAAAACACCACTACTATAACAAAAGTAAAGACGACACCAAAAAACAACGACGTATGGAGTTAAAAATACCAGTCATATTTCTCCACCCACCTTATTTTCAAAAGTTTTAAAAAAAATTTACTCCTATGTAAAATGACTTCTAAGAATATAGGGAAAAATATTTAATATTTAATATTTAATATGAAGTTAAAAATAAGTGGTGAGATCCATTTGAGACATAACCAGATGCACATGAAAAGATTTCAATTTTGTTTGTTTTTGAATCTGCAAGTAGAGGGGTAGAGAGTTTGTATTTATGAAATATTTCCCAAACCACCTATAACTGACGAATTGAGAGAGAGAGATAGAAAGAGAGAGAGAGAAGAAGAACTTTGATAAGAGAATTTGCTTGAATTAATTAAAGGGTAGTTTAGAAATAATGGTGGGTGGAAATAACTTTTAAGTTGTAAAAACGGTTTTTTTTTTTTTTTTTTTTTTTTTTTTTTTTTTTTTTTTAAAAAAAAAAGTTTAGCCGGGCGGTTGTACTCGTAATTTTAAAAAAAATTAAATGGTACAGGCGGGTGGCTATACGCATTTTGACACGTGGGCGCATAATCGCAAGGGGTCCTCTTTTTTACCTGTATAAATAGTATAGCTGCACGGGTATACTCCGTATTCCTTTTTGGGTAAAAATAGTATAGCTGGGCGGCGGTACTCGGTTTTTTGTTTTTTTTGTTTTTCTATAAATCATATATCTGCTTGGCTATACTCGCTCTTTTTATAATAAAAAAATAAAAAAATAGTATCGCCAGATGGCTATACTTATTTTGACACGTGGGCACCAAATCAAAACGGGTCCCTTTTTTATGTGAATAAATAGTATAGCCGCACGGCTGTACATTTTTTTTTCTTAAATAAAAAAAAAAAAAAAAAAAAAAAAAAAAAAACCACACCCGACAAAATAGCTTCAGCAAAAGTCTATGCGGCGGCAAAATTTTGCCGGATTAGACATCTCCCGACGAAAGTCACCTTTGCCGACGAAATTTCATCGGGAAAGGTCTAATCCGGCAAATTTCGCCGGGATAGACATGTGCCGACGAACTTTCGTCAGAACTTGTATTTTTTTCAAATTTACACGGTGAGTGAGAAAATAAGATGAATGGAGAAATAGAACAAGGGATGGAAATAGCAACACTCTTATTTAGTTGCCATCTCTCAACATTTTGCATGCTCGTTTAATTTTCTATGTGTAATTATGTAGGCCAGATTTTATGGCAATTGAAATAGAAATGGGAAGTTATGGCCACAGACAATATTAACAGTTTTACTAAACTAGAATTACAATTTGAGTACTCTTATAATTTTTATAAAGTGAAACATGCTAAATCTGAGAGCTATAGTTTTTACATGGAGTACAATTTTCCTGTTATCAAATACCCTGTGCCCACCCTGTTTCCTGTTACATGGAGTATGATAGGTAAATAATTGGAATAGATAATCAACATTTTGGGTTTGTTCTGTTCTGTACCTCTGTTATGATTTGTGTAGGTAAACAACTTTCTGGGTTTATTATGTACCTCTGTTTTAATTTGTGTAGGTAAACAATTTGGATTAGGCAACAGGTTTGTTATTATTATTATTTTTTAAAATTGACGTGAGCACCAACCCTTTGTGTACAAGGTTTAGAATCTGTGGGTTGTTTTGTTTGTATTGCTGGAGAAGGTATTTTGTGGAGTCATAATTAAGTGTATTGGCCGAGTAGGTCCAATTGAGACGAGTAAACCTTCTTCAACCTATGGCGGAGGTGTTTTCTGGGCTCCTAATTTTGTATACGTTGGCTAGGTATCAGAACTAAAATGATTCGATTACGATCTGGTGTATGGTATGTTAAAGGGTTGACTAAAATTACAAAATTGTAAAAACAATAATAGTAATTCAAAGGTACAAAATAAAAAATGTAAACAAATAAAACAATAATAAATAACAATAAGACAACAATTAAGGGGTTGACTAAAAGAAAGCTGTAGAGAGCAAAATTGGCACATAAAAAATTGACTAATGTGTTTGCTTACATCGAAAAAAAAAAGGGTTTACATAAAAATTGAAATTACGTTCCTAATAAACCCTAATAGTTTTGGGTTTATATCTAATTTTCTATATATTAAATCACTTGTTTTAAAATAGTACTTATCTTCCAAGATTGAAACAATTTCGGGAAAGAAACAAGTTGTATACTTATCTTCCTTCTCTTGATCTGTCTCATCATATGATATCATTCAGTGATGACTAGTCTGCCCACAACAACGATCGAGCACTAACGAGGAAATAGTTCGGTGAATGAAGCCTCATTTACTGATTTTTGGACAGAGTTGTTTTGGGAAGGATTTGACCGAATAACCTTTGTTGGTGTTTCCGGCTGAATCACAGAAAATGGTTGCGAGGGTACTGGGAGAGTGAGAGAGTTGCTAGTAAGCATAAGAACAACTGAAGCCATGGTTGGCCTCTCAATTATATTCGGTTGCACGCATAGTAATCCAATGTGGATGCATCTCATTATTTCAGTTGTTAAACCAGTCTTCAAGGTGGGATCTATTAAATTTGAAGTTTTCACCCCTTCCTTCCAACTTTTCCATACCTGCATGCAAGATTTCATACGTGCTAAAACAAATCAGTCATACTTGACCCAAAAAAATAAAAATAAATCAGTCATACTTTTTCTTACTTCATATATGCGTGTATTCAATTGCAATAATAACCAGACGTAGTTACTTACACAGTTTAAAAGATTCACATCCCCTCTGTGGCATAAAGCACTATTCTTATGTCCGCTTACTATCTCTAAAAGTAACACACCAAAGCTATAAACATCAGACTTCACAGAAAACTGTCCATGCATCGCATACTCTGGAGCCATATATCCGCTACAAGTAAATTTACAAAAGTATATCAAACTTAATTAACCTAGATGAAATTTTCATCTTTATGCTCAAACTATCTTATTTCTTTTGATTACTTGTATAATTAAGTCTTTAAGTAGTCAGGATATTTCTTACAAAGTTTATGGTACGGATCATTGTAAACTTGGAAATTATTGGTAAAGCCAAACACCGTTACAAGCCCCACATATATATATCATGGTCTAGTATACTTACTATGTCCCCACAATTCGATTGGTTTCCCCTTCTGTTTGATCAAGCACGAACAATCTCGCCATGCCAAAATCTGCAATTTTAGGATTCATTTCAGCATCTAACAAAATGTTACCAGCTTTGAGGTCACGATGAATGACTCTAAGACGAGAGTCCTCATGAAGGTAAACAAGTCCTCGCCCAATGCCTACTATGATTTTGTAGCGCCTATCCCAGTCTAATTGTGCACGCTTGATTGGATCTGCATACTCATGGAGAAATAATATTTTGTATTAATGATGTTTGTTGTTGTTCGTTTTGGAAGCAATAGAATTCCAACGCATGCATATATATACATACCAAATATGAATTGGTCGAGACTTGCATTATGGACAAACTCATACACAAGAAGTCTTTCATTTCCTTCCAGGCAGAAACCAAGGAGTCTAACTAAATTTCGATGTTGAAGCTTGGCTACTAATGCGACCTCATTTCTAAATTCTATGTCCCCTTGTGCAGAATCTCTAGAAAGCCTTTTAACTGCTATATCTTCTTCATTCAAGAGCCTACCCTGCATAATTCAAGAGGAATCTGAAAGTTAACTTATACTGCTCGCTTAGGCACATAACCAACACGATTGTGGATGTTTTATTACCCTGTAAACAGCACCAAATCCACCACGTCCAAGCTTATTTCCTTCACAAAAGTTATTTGTGGCAATTCTAATGGAGTTGAAGTCGAATTGCAAGGCTTCTGCACTTCTAATTTCATCTCCTTCTTAAATTTGCATAAGAAATAATGTGACACAAATTAAAAAGTTCACAAGAGGTCAGTTTTTTTCAGGGAAAGCTATAAGTAAAAACTGATCTCAACTTACCTTCAAGTTTTTCCCTTCTCTTCTTCACTCTCAGAAAAATGCATATGGATATAATTAGAAACAAAGAAACGACAAGTACCACAACAGTAATGATGACAGTCCGAGATATATTACTCTTCTTTCCTGCAAAAATCAGAAATTAATCTAGCGTCTCTGATCGGAGCATCATGGGGTTGAATTTTGATCAGTTAAATCCTTTCACTAGGTAACTCAGAGTTATGATCATCTATTAGTGTTTGGGAACCAAAACGTTCATTTGCATAAGACCAAAAAAATAGTAAATAAACAATGTTATTTGCATCTACAACTAGAAGAAAATAAACCTTCCCCTCCCCTGTTGTCCAGAAGAAGATATTACAAAAATAAAAACAGCGATGTTACTATTAGAATATGATGGGATGAAAAACTAATGTTGGCCTCATGTTCAATCCAATTCACATCAGAAGTCAACCACAAGTTTGGTTACTTTCAAAGCCTAAGGGGACATAAAAAATATACCTCTTGGAACCGTGTGATTGGCAGGTGGTGGCGGAGGAGAAGCAGAGGCCGGTGTTGCAAGGGGCCATGGTATCTGAGTTGTACTGTAAAAGAAGGGGTGAGACTCATACCTTATGGTACAGCTAGGTGTGGCGACTCTCGCACCCATTGATCCACTACAACATGTTCGGATAGCCCCCAACGAAACATTAAAGCAATTAGTACACTCTATCTCTGACAACTCTGGAGTGCACTGAGCAAGTCCATGGATTGTTACATTAGAATTTGCGCCGACACTTGCATTTCCTACTGCAAACTTAAGAAGATCACCACGCCCAGCAGCTTCGCTTGTTAGTGCATTTAATAAGGCAGAGACCTCTCGATTAAACGCATCCAAGTTTGTAGATGATAAGTTTTTTACTTTCCTCACAGAGAAAGCAGGATTAACTTCCACTAAACCAAACATGGGGCGGTTTGAGTAGCGTAACATACAACGTCTGTAAAATCCAATTGCCTCCTTCTGATTAGGACAAGCCTCCGGGAGAACATAGGCGGCGTCACTAAGGCATTTACCGCAAACATCGGACTTAGCATCTCCTCTACAAAGCCCGATTGCGTAAACTGTCTCGGAGTTTTGGCCACGGGAGGAGTTGTAGAACCCGTAGCCGTTGCTGTTAGAAAGCAATGATGAGAGGAGGTCATTAAGGTTTTGCTGGTAGGTACTGTTAGTGGTGTAGTTACCTTTGCTGCTAACACAGAAGATTGCAGGAATTCCAGGCGGTTGAATCCGTGCGTGAGTGATATTAATATTGATGATGATAGGTAACGCAAATAATGTCCAAAGTATCAATAATCTGAATGTTGAGGAAAGCATGGCTAAGATATAAAGATTAATGATGTGAATCCGATGGTGATTAAAAACCCAAGGGACAAAGCCAAAGTGTGAGGAATAATCTCATGGGCTTCTTAATGTTTATTTTTCCAATCAATGCAATGGATTTATAATATTAAAAGGATTATGCGTGTTTTTGTTGAGAATATTGGCTTACATTGAAAGTTAAGGCCTCTTTTGTTAAAGAGGACTATACTGGATTAGATTGGATTAGCAAAATGCCTACATTTTATGTGCAATCAAGATATAATATGTATATTGTTGTCTAACTTGGAGGATGAAGGAGGATTATTCATAAGAGGTTGATGACTAAAACTTATCCCTCATAATCCAACCAATTTCAAGGGGATTATGGGGATAAGTCTTAGTTCATCAACCTTTTATAGATGGTCCCAATTCTTCCTTCAGGTTAGGCAATCCATATAGTCCCATCAACCTTTTACTTAACACTAATTATTTTTATATATTATTTTTTATAGAGATGGATCAATCATATTGAATTAAAAAATAACTATAGTGTTTATGACTCCCTAAACTAAGGAGTATGATTAGAGTTCAAATTTCATAGAGAGCTCCTAAAATAACTTTTGTGTATTTTTAGCTAAATTTTAACTAAAAAATGAGGGGGCATGATTGTAGATGCTCTTATGCCTTCAATGCACATGAAATGTAGACATTTTTCTAGTCTAGTCTAGTCCTCCCTACCAAACCAGCCCTAAGGGATCTAATAACATGGGTTTATAAGGAGTCTCTATGTACATTGTCTTGGTATTGGGGTGGAACCTCAACTTCTTTTATAGTATCAAAGTAGGCAATCCACGTGTTGAGTCCCATGACAACAGCCACATGTACTCTTATGTCACTCAATATGTGTTGTTCAAGTCTTTAGTTTTTAAATTGTACCATAATTACTTTGTTCTAACTACAATCTTCTTTATTTTCTTATAGCTCAATATATTTGGTACATGTTAATATTTTGGCCCTCTAAAATTTGAATCATGACTCTTCCCATGATTTGGTTGAGGTTTCGCAGCCACGGATGACCGTATCCAACTTCTTGCATTTAACACGTGAGCTTTTCTTTCTTCTCTTTTTGTTTTTTAATTTTAATTTTTTGTCAACTACAGAATTTCATTGAATCAAACTCCCAAAAGGTAAGCGAGATACACCAGAGTGATGCACAACTCGAGCTATAAACAGGGAAAAGGTAAGAAGAGAGCTGATAAGGTCGATTTAATCATGACGCGGCAATTCAATTCAGTACTAGTTAATTCAAAAGTAAGAGAAAACGTTTTGTTTTCAACCCCCTCTCGTATTAGTTTATTTTGACCTGGGCTGTGTGTTTGTGGGTGGTTTCACTCAAAAAGAGTCTGAAATATTCAGTCACATGAAAGTTTATCTTTTATCCTATCTTGTTCAACCTCATCTCTCCCCTTGTATTTTTTTAAATATCTTTTCTGCCTTTTCTAATGAAAGTTTCAGCGTCCAAAGAGAAAGAAGAGAAAGGAAACTTTTCTTCAATATCTGGGTTCCTGGGTGGAAAAATAAAGACAAAGATAATATGCCTTTCGGGTTGTCAAGGGCGAATAGAGAGAGAAACAATTTGAATTTTGATTATCAACATTGCAAGACTTTAATTTTGGGTAATTGTTTTAAACTTTATGTGATTATCAACATTGCACAACTTGAATTTTAGTCGTTATGTGCAATTGTTTCAACAATTAAGGTACCCATCGCATCAAAAAACATACCTAACCAATCCCAAAGTTGACTACTGCTTGAACTTGGAAACAGCCCTCTCGAAGGGAGAGCAAAAAGAAAAAAAACCCTAAAGTCAGGACTTCCAGTCGCCACCCCCTTTGGGGTTGGCAGCCTGTCGGAGAGTCTTTACTTAGTTAGGATTTTGGTTCCTTATTTAGTTAGAATTTTGGTTACTTACCAATTATTATTTAGTCATATTGTAATAGAGATTTATTTCATATTGTAATTTAGATATATTTCCTATTTTATTTAGGGTTAACACATTTTTGTACTTGTATAAATATCTCCATATTGGAGAATAATAATAATATGAGCATATACAAGCATATCTGAATATTTTCCCTACTTTGTTTGACTTGGTATCAGAGTTAGGTTCTCTTGTGACCTGTGCTTGCGTTCTTCTTGCAATTTAAGTGCTCTCCTCCCCTCCTCTTCAAGGGGGGAGGGGGAGTGAAAATGATATATTTATTGACGTATCCCCATTACCTTGACTTATTCCCATGAAGATATTGCCTATTTCTTGACTCCGACGACCCTTTTTATTCAAGCAGAGAGGGGAGTGAAGAGAAGTTGTGTATGCGTGAATTAGCTAAAGTTAATATGGAAGAATTTGTCGTTGCCATTTTCCGCTACTATTGTCATTGTCGTGGCCGTTGCTGCCACCATTGACGTTGCCTTTGCTTGCTTTGCTTTCTGTTGATGTAGTCATTGTCGTTGTTATTGTTGTGGCTGTGCCCTTTGTCTTTGCTTCTGCCTTACCTACTGTAGTGCTCACAAGGTTTCTGTGTTCTGCCTTATCTACTACGGTGCTCACAGGGTTTCTGTGTTCTGCCTTATCTACTGCCGTGCTCACATGATTTCTGTGTTCTACTTTATCTACTGTTGTGCTTATAGGGTTTCTGTATTTTGTCTTACCTACTATCATGCTCATAAGGTTTCTGTGTTATACTTTTATGTGTTCTTCTATGTGCCCTATTTGGTTTTTCAAATGTTTCACTCGTGGTTTATGACAAGGCCTTCTCTACAGTTGTTCAATTGGTCAATGTCAAGTATCCTATTTTATTTAGGGTTAACACATCATTGTACTTATAGAAATACCTAAATATTGGAGAAGAATAATAATATGAGCATAATTGAATATTTGCCCTACTTTGTTTGACTCAACCTCCCTCTTCTCCCCTTCCTTTTCCTTCCCTCACATCTCCTTTCCTCCCACACTCCTTCTACTAGTTCCTCCCCTCCCTTTTTGGTTTTTTTGGTTTTATTTATTTATTTGTAAGTTGGAGTCTCTATATCTACTTTGGATCTTTGTGGTTCGCCTATCTTTGAATTTTGCCAAGAAAGATTGTTGTTTTGACAAATCTGATGTCCTGGATACTCTACTTTATGGTTTGGTGATTGTTGATAGGTTGCGGTATGTGGTTTTCGGCACATGACAATGGTGGTCGACTTGGTATGCCAACGTCAACGCTCTCTGTGGTTTTGTGTCTGGTGGCTCTTGCATTGTATGTGCTAGTGTAACAATAATTGGCGCAAATTAGTTTGAGTTCGTAAAGAACACTAAATAAACACAAACAAAATGATATGAAACAAAACCGGAAAATAAATAAGTAAATGAAAATGAAGGAAGAAGAAAAAGTAATGTTCGCGCTAAATCTGAACAGATAAGAGTTTAGGCTAACTTACAAGTATGCTGATGGTTGAGGACCAGGGTGACCTTCTTCCATGATGTTCGAAGGTTCGAGCGGGGTTTGGATCCGAACTAAGGAGGGGATACCGGTGTAGTACTTGCCGAAGGCACTCCGATGCCAAAATTAGTAACTAAGAGCGATTCTATTGACAGTGGAAACACTAGTCAAGTCAAAAAGTCTTACCACTTGGCCGAGCCAAGGGGCTCTATTTATAGAGAGCATTTGTTATGCTCTTAGTACTCAGTTTCGATGTGGGGCTCGTGGGAGAGTCTTCGGAGATCGACACTTGTTCTGACAGGTTCTGGCAGGAGTTCTGAGACAACCTGCCAGAGTTGGATTGATGTGACTGTTGGTCGCTCGGCACACCATGCCGAAAGTTGGCGTGGGTAGCTGATGGACCGTAGTTGATCCTAGAATCGGTAGAGAATGCCGAAGGAACATTCGGCATGGCCTACTTGAGCTGCTCTCGGCTTTAAATGTGTTCCACATGTCACGACGCGGATGGGTGGTCAGATATGATACAAACACGTAACAAAAACAATTCAAAATAGGGCAGTTGATCTATCGGTTTTGAGTGACGGTCGATCTCTTTTCCTCATAGGCAAATAAAACCGGACACAAGTGCAGGTGATGACCAATCATTTTTCCTCATAGAAGAATTTCTCGTGAAAATGAACTAAGCGATCAGTCGACATTGCTTTTTTTTTCACCAAAAAGTTGCTTCACTTTAAAGTCAAGCAGTTAAAGATGTTTGGTAATAATAAAATATCCCGATTATTTTTAAAGCAGTGGCCTTTTGACAGTAACTTTTGAAAGTCGGTTTTGGGTTGCTTTTCATTGCTGCTTTTAAAAAAAAATAGAGATTAGCCTTTAATGAATTTTTTTAATTCCCAAAATACCATCATTAATTTTTAAAAATGGCACCACCTCCCTCCACATCCAACTCCACTACCACCTCCTCTGCCACTGCCACCACTATTAGAAATTAGATTGAGAATAAACATAAAATTTGTCTTTGAGGTAGGTTACTATGTTTTCCTTAAAGTGATATTTGTCCAATACTCAGTAATGAGTTTGCTAATAGGTCTTAGACAAACCACTTCCATGATACAACAAAGACTGAAACTTTAGTTTAGCAATAACTGAAATTCCCTTAGAACTTCTGATGGAAACTAGATGACGGGTTGGAGAAAGAGAGATGATATTTACAATGACTTCTTGTGATATTTAGTTCCCAATCTGACCGTCACCACCACCACCACCACCACATCCTCCTCCTCCTCCTCCTCCACCACCACAACTGCCATCCCCACCACCATCACTATCACAACCACCACCACCACTACCATCACATGATTAGTGCATAACACTTTCAATATCATGTCTATTTTATTCATTATTTACAATAGTTTTATATTAAAATTTACCAAACGTTTTGCCATTGCTTTTTGTACTAACAACACTTTTAAAATATTGTTTACCAAACATGGAGCTGTTTTACTTTACAACTAAGTATTTTCAAAGCACTACATAAACAACTTTTTAAAAGTGGGAGCAATCCCAAACTGACCCTAAGGCTTTATTTTTATTTATGAACAATTAGACTAAGGCTTTAAACTTACAATCTTGACTAAATTTACAACTCACTAGCAATACAGTACTAACCAAAATAAGATCGAGGCAATGTCTGGAAACAAACAAATTGAATAAATTAATGATTGTCCAATAAAACATACTTTGGACCTCCAAATCTGATGTGTTTGGACTAACCAAGACCTTAATTATTGGATTAACAAAAGGGAAACAGATCCATTAACTCGAGAGTTTTTATGTCAACTTGTTACAAAGTTGACTCGATAAATCTTGATCCGAACAATTAACTTTTCATGTGAAAACATGTACATGATTTTGCAAAAGTTTCTTCAAGGTTGATTATTTCTTCTCTCCCATTGGACTAGTCCTATACAATGGGTACCTATACAATGGGTTCAGTTGGAAACTCGAAACATTGAATTGGGGTCGCACGTGCGGAAGAGTGAGGGGAGTGCAATGGGTTGAACTGCAGTGCACTAGTTTTGGGCTCGCACGTGCCAAGTTTTTTTCTTTTAACAATTTTTAGGCATTTTATTTATTTTCTATTGTTATGTTTGGGTTGGATTACTGTTCTACGTTGTCGAACTAATAAAATTAGTAAAGAATTATATTGTTGAAGCTTTTGAAGGGCAAGCTCTAAAGGATGGTCTTCTCAATGCTTTCTGGGCCGGATATTCCAAAGGGTCAAGGATATTCACAAGTTCTTAAGAAGCTAATTTTATGGCTAACGCTTTTGCTTCTCTAAGCTAATTCCTTCAGTTGTGACTTCTGCTTTTAACTTGACTGTTTAGAGTTGAGTTGTGCTCGGAGGTTCGTGTTGTAATGTTCTTATCTTAGCCACACACAAAAAATTTAACTAAATTGGAAAATTGGAAAACAAATATTATTGTGATTCATAACCCTAGTTTATGAGAACTTACCAAGACAATGAAATGAACTACAAACAAAAAATAATAATCATAAATGCATTTCATTCCATCAGGATCCATTGGCAGAGAGGAGATAGCTTGGGATTGGAATTGAAACTTCATGTGGAGATTTTTGGGCAGAGCCACTTCTGGATGGATCGGACCCTGTCACCCCTGAGCTATTTTCCCACCCCAACGACTTGTCCGATGAGGATCCAATGCCACCACCATCCATGAAAAACGCTGGTTGTGAAGGTACTGAGAGATTATCAACAGAGGAGCTAGTAAGCATGAGAATCACTTCAGCCATGGTTGGCCTATCAGCTATAGTTTGCTGCACACATAATAGTCCAATGTGGATGCATCTCATTATTTCTGGTCTTGAACCATTCTTCAACGTAGGATCTACTAAATTTAAAGCTGTTCCCTCCTTCCAACTTTTCCATGCCTGCATAATTTTGCGAATATGCAGAAACAAAATCAGATATATGACATTTCTTTTCTCTTAAAAAATTTGTTGCAATCAATGGCAGTAGTATGTACAGCACAAACTTTTGTGTTACTTACATAGCTTAAAAGATCCTCCACATGCCCTCCATGGCGAAAAGAACTATTTTTTTGTCCACTTATAATCTCCAAAACTAATACACCAAAACTGTAAACATCAGACTTAACAGAAAATTGTCCACGCATTACATACTCTGGAGCCATATATCCGCTGCATATCAACAACTGAAAGGTTAACTTTAGTTACTATGGATGAAAACTTTCTCTATTATGCTTAAATTGTCTGGTTGTTAAATCACATGAATTTTCAAATTATAATCCATATAGTCTGCTAATACTTACTAGGTCCCCACAACTCGACTGGTTTCACCTTGTGTTTGATCAAGATCAAACAATCTTGCCATGCCAAAATCTGCAATTTTGGGATGCATTTCTGCATCTAATAAAATGTTACTAGCTTTCATATCTCGATGAATAATTCTAAGACGTGAATCTTCATGAAGGTAAAGGAGTCCCCGTCCAATGCCTACTATGATTTTGTAGCGACTATCCCAATCCAAATGTGCGCGCTTAATTGGATCTGCATAGTCAAGGAAAATTAATATTTGTACTCTTTGAAAGCATGTGAGGCACATAAGATGAGCTTTTATCATACATTTCAAAATAGAAACAGAAGTCCAAGTTTCCAACCATACCAAATATGAACTTATCGAGACTTGCATTAGGGACAAACTCATACACAAGAAGTCTTTCATTTCCTTCCAGGCAGAAACCAAGGAGCCTAACTAAATTTCGATGTTGAAGCTTAGCTACTAAGGTAACCTCATTTTTAAATTCTATATCTCCTTGTGCAGAATCTCTAGAAAGCCTTTTAACTGCTATGTCTTCTTCATTCCAAAGCCTACCCTGCATTCATGAAGAATCTGAAAGTTAACTTATTGCTCATGTAGGCACATAACTAACCTTATTGTGGATGTTTCATTACCCTATAAACAGCACCAAATCCACCACGTCCAAGCTTATTTGCTTCAGAAAAGTTACTTGTAGCAATTTTAATGGAGTTGAAGTTGAATTGCAAGGATTCTGTTCCAATTTCATCTCCTTCTCATATTTGAATGAGAAACAATTTAACACAAATTAAATTAGTTCATTGCATACTCTTTCCGGGGAAGTTACAAAGACAAACTTATCTCAACTTACCTTCAAGTTTTTCCTTTCTCTTCTTCAATCTCAGATAAATGCAGATGGATATAATTAGTAGCAGGGAACCAACAATTGTCACAACAGTAATGATGACAGTCCGAGATGTATTGCTCTTCTTTCCTGCAAAAATCAGAAATTAATCTGGTTTCTCTGATCGGAGCATCACGGGACTGAATTTCGATTATTGTAAAATCTTTTCACTTGGTGCAAAGTAAACAGTTAATAACTCAGAGTAGTGATGATCATCTATTAAAGTTTGGGAACGAACCAAAAAACATTTGCATCTACAACTAGAAGAAAAGAAGCATTCCCCTGTTGTGCAGAAGAACATATTACAAAACAAAAACAGAGAAATTACTTAGAATATGATGGGGTGGAAAATTAATGTTGCCCTCATGCTCAGTCCAATTCACATTAGAAATTCAACCACATGTTTGGTTACATTCAAAGCCTAATGGGACATGGATTGCAATATATACCTCTTGGAATCGTGTCAGTGCCCGGTGATGGAGGAGCGGAGGATGGCGCTGCTAAGGGTGGCGATGGCGATGGTGTCTCAGTTGTATCGTCGAAGAAGCTGTAAGACTCATACCTTATGTTACAGCTAGGTCTGACAACTCTCCCACCTACTTTTCCACTACAGCATGTTGGGATAGCCGCCAAAGCATCATCTAAGCAATCAGTACAATTTACCTTGGACAACTCTGAAGTGCACTGAGTAAGTCCATAAATTGTTACATTAGAACTCGCACCAACACTTGCGTTTCCTACCGCAAACTTTAGATCACCACCCCCCGCTGCTTCGCTTGTTAGTCCATTTAATAAGGCAGCGAGCTTTTGATTAAACGCATCCAAGATTGTAGATGATACGTTTTGTACGTTCCACATATAGTAAGCAGGAATAGTTTCCAGTAAGCCGTATAGGGAACGGTTTGAGTAGCGTAACATACAATTGTCGTACCATCCAATTGCCTCCTTCTGGTTAGGACAAGACTCCGTGAGAACATAAGTAGCGTCACTAAGGCATTTACCACAAGCATCGGACTTAATATCTCCTCTACAAAGTCCGATTGCATAAACTCTGTCGGCGTTTTGGCCTCTGGAGGAATTGTAAAAGCCGTAGCCGTTGCTGTTGGAGAGCAAGGAGGAGAGGAGGTCGTTTAGGTTTTTTTGGTAGGTGCTGTTAGTGGTGTAGTTGCCTTTGTTGTTATCACAGACGGCTGTTGGAATTTTAGGCGGCTGAATCTGTGCATGAGTGAAGTCAGCATTGATGGTGATGATGATTTGTAATGCAAGTAAGATCAATAATCTGAAAGTTGAGGAAACCATGGCCAAGATATAATAGAGATTAAGAATGTGACCATCCTTAACTCAACCGGATGCTGATTAAAATCCCCAAGGGACAAAGCCAAAGTGTGAGGAAAAATCTCATGAGCTTCTTAGTGTTTGACAAATTGACGCTATTTTAATTAAGATATTGACTGAGAAGGGATTGCTGTAAATTCTGACCAAGTCAATATAGGAACCATTTCATTACTCCATTGTTGGGATTGGTTGAGGTCTCGCAACAGCAGTTGTCAATGGTGTTATGGAGTTTGAATTTGAAACAGGAGTGGTTCAGCAACACCCCAAGAATTTCGAACTTATTAAATTACAGAGCAACTTCTAATGCTTCCCCGCCCCATTTGACCATTCCATTCATAAAAATTAACTGATCTATTTCCTTGGCACAGTGGCATTCTCATAAAAAGTGCTTATAATTCTGCCTCCGTCACTTAATTCTCTCTCCCAACACAAACCCCACAGCCAATCAATAATCAGGTTTAGCCCAACCAAGAGAGGAAAGGAAAAAAAGAAAAAAGAAAATTAGACTCAAGGCTTTAAACACGCAATATTGACTAAATTTACAACGCACTCGCAACACTATAGGAAAAATAAGATGGAAACAATTTCTGGAAAGAACAAAATTGAATAAATCAACCGAAATAAATTACATGCAAACTATACCCCTTCCTTTTATTTCTATCCTCTACATCGGTAGGTTTCTCTCTTAATCTAAGTCAGTTGGTAATCAATTGTCACAACTCAAAATACATTTAACTAAATAGGAAAATTGGAAAACAAATATTATCGTGATTCATAACCCTAGCTTATGAGAACCTACCAAGACAATGAAATGAACCACAAACAAAAAAATAATAATAATCATAAATGCATTTCATTCCATCATCATCCATTGGCAGAGAGGAGATAGCTTGGGATTGGAATTGAAACTTCATGTGGAGATTTTTGGGCAGAGCCACTTCTGGATGGATCGGACCCTGTCACCCCTGAGCTATTTTCCCACCCCAACGACATGTCGGATGAGGATACAATGCCACCACCATCCATAAAAAATGCTGGTTGTGAAGGTACTGGGAGATTATCAACAGAGGAGCTAGTAAGCATGAGAATCACTGCAGCCATGGTTGGCCTATCAGCTATAGTTTGCTGCACACATAATAGTCCAATGTGGATGCATCTCATTATTTCTGGTCTTGAACCATTCTTCAACATAGGATCTACTAAATTTGAAGCTGTGCCCTCCTTCCAACTTTTCCACGCCTGCATAATTTTGTGAATATGCAGAAACAAAATCAGATATGACTTTTCTTTTCTTTTAAAAAATTTGTGGCAATCAATGGCAGTAGTATGTACAGCACAAACTTTTGTGTTACTTACATAGCTTAAAAGATCCTCCACATGCCCTCCATGGTGAAAAGAACTATTTTTTTGTCCACTTATAATCTCCAAAACTAACACACCAAAGCTATAAACATCAGACTTGACAGAAAATTGTCCACGCATTACATACTCTGGAGCCATATATCCGCTGCATATCAACAACGAGAAGGTTAACTTTAGTTACCATGGATGAAAACTTTCACTCTTATGCTCAAATTATCTTGTTTTGAGTTCTTGTACTAATTGTTAAATCACATGAATTTTCAAATTATAACCGTATAGTCTGCTTGTACTCACTAGGTCCCCACAACTCGACTGGTTTCACCTTGTGTTTGATCAAGATCAAACAATCTTGCCATGCCAAAATCTGCAATTTTGGGATGCATTTCTGCGTCTAATAAAACGTTACTAGCTTTCATATCACGATGAATAATTCTAAGACGTGAATCTTCATGAAGGTAAAGGAGTCCCCGTCCAATGCCTACTATGATTTTGTAGCGACTATCCCAATCCAAATGTGCGCGCTTAATTGGATCTGCATAGTCAAGGAAAATTAATATTCGTACTCTTTGAAAGCATGTGAGGCACATAAGATGAGCTTTTATCATACATTTCAAACTGGAAGTAGAGTCCAAGTTTCCCAACCATACCAAATATGAACTTATCGAGACTTGCATTAGGGACAAACTCATACACAAGAAGTCTTTCATTTCCTTCCAGGCAGAAACCAAGGAGCCTAACTAAATTTCGATGTTGAAGCTTAGCTACTAAGGCAACCTCATTTTTAAATTCTATATCTCCTTGTGCAGAATCTCTAGAAAGCCTTTTTACTGCTATGTCTTCTTCATTCCAAAGCCTACCCTGCATTCAAGAATAATCTGAAAGTTAACTTATTGCTCACTTAGGCACATAACTAACCTTATTGTGGATGTTTCGTTACCCTGTAAACAGCACCAAATCCACCACGTCCAAGCTTATTTGCTTCAGAAAAGTTATTTGTAGCAACTTTAATGGAGTTGAAGTCGAATTGCAAGGCTTCTGTTCCAATTTCATCTCCTTCTCATATTTGAATGAGAAACAATGTAACACAAATTAAATTAGTTCATTGCATACTTAAAAGACGAACAAGAGGTCAGTTTGTTTCGGGGGAAGTTACAAAGACGAACTTAGCTCAACTTACCTTCAAGTTTTTCCTTTCTCTTCTTCCATCTCAGATAAATGCAGATGGATATAATTAGCAGCAGGAAAACAACAATTGTCACAACAGTAATGATGACAGTCCGAGATGTATTGCTCTTCTTTCCTGCAAAAATCAGAAATTAATATGGTTTCTCTGATCGGAGCATCACAGGGCTGAATTTCGATTATTGTAAATCTTTACACTATGTACAAAGTAACCAGTAGAAAACTCAGAGTTATGATCATTTATTAAAGTTAGGGAACCAAACAAATTCATTTAAGACCAAAAAAAAAAAAAAAAAAAAAAAAAAAAAAAAAAAAAAAAAAAAAAAAGTCAAAAAAAAAATAACAAAGTCATTTAAATGCACTGCAGCAAAAAACTAACTAACTTTCCTGTTGTGCAGAAGATAATACAACACTAAAACAGAGTAGTTACTTAGAATATGATGGGATGGAAAACTCATGTTGCCTCATGTTCAATCCAATTCACATCAGAAATTCAACCACATATTTTGTTGACTATGAATGCATGATCAATATGGGACACATGACATACACAATACCTCCTGGAGTCGTGGCACCGGATGGTGGTGGAGGAGGGGCAGAGGCCGGTGTTGCTAAGGGGGGCGATGGCAGTGGTGTCTCGTTTGTACTGTCAAAGAAGGGGCTAATCTCATACCGTATGTTACAGCTAGGTGTAACAATTCTCACACCAATTGATCCACTGCAACATGATGGGACAACCCCAAAAGCACCATCTATGCAAGTAGCGCACTCTCCCTCCGACACATCTGGAGTGCACTGAGCAAGTCCATAGATTGTTATATTAGAATTCGAGCCAACGCTTGCGTTTCCTACTGCAAACTTACGCAGATTGCCGCCCCCCGCTGCTTCGCTTCCAAGTCTCTTGAACAAGGCAGTGAGCTCTTGATTAAAGGCATCCAAGCTTGCAGATGATACGTTCTCTGTGTTCCTCGCAGAGTAAGCTGGATTAAGTTCCAGCAGGCCGTACATAGAGCGGTTTGCATAGCGTAACATGCAATTTGGGGACCATCCAATTGCCTCCTTCTGGTCAGGACAAGCCTCCGGGAGAACATAGGTGGCGTCACTGAGGCATTTACCGCAAGCGTCGGACTTAACGTCTCCTCTGCAAAGCCCAATTGCGAATACTGTGTCGGAGTTTTGGCCCTGGGAGGAGTTGTAGAACCCGTAGCCGTTGTTGTTGGAGAGCAAGGAGGAGAGGAGGTCATTGATGTTTTTTTGGTAGGTGCTGTTGGTGGTGTAGTTGCCTTCGTTGTTATCACAGACGGCTGATGGAATTGCAGGCGGTTGAAGCTGTGCATGAGTGATATTAATATTGATGATGAGAATGAGTAAGGCAAGTTGTGTACAGAGGATCAATAATCTGAATGTTGAGGAAACCATGGCCAAGAAATAAAGTTTAATGATGTGACCATCCTTAACTTAAACTGGATACGCTGATTAAAATCCCCAAGGGACAGAAGAGAAGTGTGAGGAAAAGTCTCATGACAAAGTCAATATCGGAAAGAAAAAAAAAAATCATTTTTATCTTTTCGGGTATGGTTGAGGTTTGGCAGTCATGGATGACCATATCGAAGTTCTTGCGTGTGTTTAGTTTAACGCGTCTCCAAGGGAAAAGTGATATCAAAAGCACTGAACATGGAATTAATAATGATATGATAATTCTATCCAATAATCTAGAAGAACATCCATATGCCACCTCCTCACTGGACCACCCTCCCCTCCCCTCCTCAATCATCTTGGATATTTTCAACCTTTGTGGATGGGTTTTGAGTTGAATGCGCCTATATTCTAATATGATATCAGATCCAATTATCCATGACTTCATCCACACGTGAGAGGGTGTGCTAAGACTACAACCTGATCTCAATCAGGAATCAATCCATAAGTGGCTTGTTTTTAAAGGGTCGTTTGGTACGACGGACTGTCATGAACTGGACTAAATTCTGGGACTGTCTCAGATTAGTTTGGATTGGCCTAAGCTGGATTAAGTATTAACCTACGTTTGGTTCTGCGTCGGACTAAGAAACTGAATTGTAAAAATAGTGAAAACCTATGTGTTGTCGGACTAAAAAATAATTATTGTAATATTTAAATTTAAAAACAATAATTAAAAAAAACAAAAATTCTGAATTTTTTTAAAGGCTAAAATTATCTTTGAAAAAACCCATCATATTCAAACCCAACTCAAACCTCCCCATTCTTTTTATCTTCTTTTTTTCTCTCTATTTTTTTTTATCTTTAATGAGAAATCTCCCACATCCTCTCTCACACACATCGCAACCCACCTCCGGTTCCCTTTTTTTCTCTCTATTTTCTTTCTTTAATAAGAAACCTCCCTCATTCTCTCTCCTCCATCGCAACCCACCTCCGCATCCCCTTTT